CCTGTCCTCAGGGAATCAGGGCTCTGTCCTCAGGGAATCGGCCATCCTACAGCACCAAGTCACAGGAAGCAATAGTGGAAACCTAAGATGATTAATAAGTTAGTGCTGGACTTGTGGAAAGGTACTCGGAAACTTCAGAGGAGTATATGATCATTCCACCAAGCTTTTGATCAGTAAACAATTTATTGAGCCTCTCACCTGTGCAGGGAATGTTCTCAGCGCTGGGGGTCAGCTGTGAGCAAGTCAGAGTCCCAGCCATCGGAGGTTTCCATCCTAGGGAGGACGGGGGCAGTGTGGAGAGATTAGCCTTGGAAAGCAGAGAGTCCATGTTGGGAACCGGGCACAGCCTAATGAGGCCAAGGAGGTGGAGTGAGCATGGGTGAATGTGGGCAGGGGAAATGGTGATGCCACAGGGAAGGCTGGTGTTCGGGAGAGTGGGCCGTACAGCTAGGGACACTAAAACGATGCACGAATGTGATTGGATCCTGGTTTGTAAAAACAGCTCTCAAATGCATTTTTTGGAGGCGCTCCTTGGAAACCCTATGGGGCAGTTCTGTTCTGTCCTATAGGGTCAGTATGAGTCAGAATCGACTTGATGGCAATGGGTTTGGTTTTTTTTGGTATGAGGAAATGGGAGCCCTGGTGGCGCAGTGGTTAAGAGCTTGGCTGCTAAGCAAAAGGTCTGCAGTTTGAATCCACCAGTCACTCCTTGGAAACCCTGTGGGGCAGTTCTGCTCTGTCCTATAGGGTCACTATGAGTCGGAATGGACTCAACAGCAGCGGGTTTGGTTTTTTGGTTTGGATGAGGAAATGTGAACGTGTACTGGACATCATGTGATTATAAGGAATTATTATTAATTTTTTAAAGAAATATTGGTGTCATCATTCTAAAGGAGAATATCCTTAATTTTGGGAGATGCATGCTGAAGCTTTTAGAGGTAAAGTTTGTGGCATCTGCAACTTATTTCAAATGGTCCTGCAGGAAAAAAAAGTATATATGTACACATATGTGTATATGTGTACACACACTTCCATAACACAGCTGAGACAAATAAGACTAAATGTTAACAGTTGAATCTAGATTATGGCTATATGGGTGTTCACTGTGTTATTTTCAGCTTTTCTGTACGTGTCAACATTTTTATGATTAAGAGTTAGAAGCAATAAGTTGGATTAATACGAGACGGACGGGATTAGGACCTGAGAAGCAGACCTTGGCCTCAGTTGATCTTCTAGGAAATGGCTCCATGGGAAGGTCATTTGGTCAGAGTGTCCTTTACAAGGTCCTGCGGTCACCGGTGCTGATCCCTCAGCCAGCATTCAGCAACAGGCTGCCTGACCGCCGACGGTCTTCCTGTGTGAGAACGAAGACTGCCTCTCCGGCCTGCTTTTTCTTTCTCGGGTTTTATTTGAAAAATTTATTTGAAGAATCGCTGACTGGGATTTCCTTGTCTCTTGAAAAAAAGAAGGAATGAAGGTGATTTCCTTCCCTCAGAGACCTTTTTAAAGGCCTGGCCTCTGTGTTTTCTTTCACTGGACAGTCCTCTTTTATATTATTGGATGGGACAATGCAGGCTCTGTTGGAATAGCTCTAGAAGGGAAGATGCTGATTGTCATTTGCTGTGTTTGTCTAGGGTACCAACTTGGCAAACCCGTCCGAGCACTAAACGCCAACAGGATGAATAATGCCACCACTTTACACCTCTGGCAACCCGGTAACGGAGTTCAGTCATTGTGACTAGCCTCCCACTCAGCTATAACTACAAGTCTTGACATATTTTGAATCTTAGCAAGTCATTAATTACTTTGAAGCCTAGTTGGTTTATTAAGGGGGGCTGAGAGGAAGGAGGTAGTTACTGTTCATGCTTCTACAACATCAAAAACATTTTTTTTTTGGTAAAGAATGTTAAACTTGTTTGTCCCTGAAGTGCTGCAGGTTATTAGTAAAAGATTTAAATGTGAGGTTGCTTTGAGCATGGGGGTTTACTCCTTTCTCATTGTTGCCTGTAGCCCCGAATGGTGCTAAATGGAGATGTGAGAATAGTTTCATTCCAAGTGATGGAAAACCTTTTTTTTTTTTAAATCAGTGAACTTTTATTGCAATTGTATCACCAAAGCATTGACATTACAAAAAGTGCTTTTATGAACAAGAATATTATACGATTGTTAGGTGTTCTTTGAAGGCACATGAAACATATATGTATGACATTTAAGTCAATAGCAATCATACCCTTTTACAATTTTTGTTTTTTGTCACTGATTACATTAATCACTATGTACAACCATCACCTCAAATTACGGACAATCTTTGAGTCAGTTGTAATTACCCAGATCTGCCCAAACCCATTGCCACTGAGTTGATTCCGACTCATAGCGACCCCGTAGGACAGAGTAGAACTGCCCCGTAGGGTTTTGAAGGCTGTAATCTCTATGGAAGCAGACTGCTTTATCTTTCTGCTGTGGAGCTGCTGGTGGGTTCAAATCGCCGACCTTTGGATTAGCAGCCAAGGGCCACGCCACCAGGGCTACTTCCTACATCTGCCAGAGGCGTTTAGTTCCATGTCCAGAATAAACCACTGGCAGCCTGATACAGAGAGAGGTGCCTTTGTTCAGCTTTGAAGGGATTAGAGTAACAGTGAGCTTAGTTTCAGAAAACTGGAAACTTTATCTCTACTTATTATTTTCTCTCTATTTTTCAAGAAAAACTTTGAAGCCAGTCTTTACTTCTTTTTTGCAAAAATAGTAAGAGGATAATCTTTTTATTTTGTAGCTGGAAGGGGTTTGTGTACGTCAGCAACTTTCATGCCCATTTTGTTTGGAGAAGATGCGCTGTCTGGGTGCCTTTTGGAAGTTGGGATAAACGAGAATTGCACTCAGCTCAGGTGAGTGTTTCTCTGATGAATTTATCTGCACTTTGAGTGGTTTGCTCCAAATTAATTCCCCAGAGTAATACTGAAGACAATATTGAAGTTAATGCAGCGCGGTAGAGTGTGAATTCAAACTTGTGCAAAAGTGAATAATGAGTGAATACAAACTTGTGATGCAATTTAGAACTGATGTACATTTGAAAATAAGGGAAGATAAAGCCTTTTATTGAGACTGAAACCATGGCATCCACATTTAGGTAAATTTCTCTGCTGAAGTTTGTTCGGCTCATTGGAACCTAATACGCCTAGAACTATAAAGGGCCAGAGCCAGGCGTGATTGGTGTGATTAACATTTAAAGCACGTTTAAGCCCTGTTACATGGAAACCCTGGTGGCGTAGTGGTTAAGAGCTACGGCTGCTAACCAAAAGGTCAGCAGTTCAAATCCACTCAGCCGCTCCTTGGAAACCTTATGGGGTAGTTCTCCCCCTAGAGGGTTCCTATGTGTCAGAATCGACTCCACGGCAGCGGGTTTGTTTGTTTTTTCTAAAGAACTTGGAGAGTATACTCATGGATGTGCATATGCCAGCGCTCGCATTCTTACACATGTTCAATCTGTGACATAGCCCAAGCAGTGCAGTTCTTGGGGGAGCAGGGAAACGATGGGGAGACATGGAAAAGAGAGGAAAAACTGGTGGACATTAGGGACAGGGTTGGAGATCACAGTTGAAGTCTCTCCCCTGCAGCTCATAGGATTTCCACCCTCCAGCATCGTTACTAGAAGGGAGGGATGGTAAAGTGTTGTTATTCTCCTTCTTTTACCTTCTCCTCTTCTGCTTTTGCTTCTTCATCTTCATTTCATTCAGATGGCAGTCCCAACAATAGGACGTGCTTTCTCTTTAGCCTTTAGGCTTTCTCTGCCCAGGAGGCTCCTCCACGCCCACCTTTGACCTCCGCATACCCTCGCATCCCTGGACACCCACTCAGATGTCACCTCCTTTAGGAGTTCCCTGCATCCCCAGGGAGGCATTCAGTACCTCTCCCCTGTGCTGCCCCACACCTGGACTTCCTGCAACATGGCGCTTCGTGCCCGCTCTGTGACTGAGTCTCCCTGCTGTACCATGCGGCCCCAACAGGGAGGGCTCCCCAGGCTCATCAGACCCTATCCCATTGCCCAGCACTGAGCAGAGCTCAGTACACACTTCAAACATTTACCCAGCCACTCACCAACCATGCTCTGAGTGCTACTTCTTAGTCTTCACCTCTGTTGTGCTCCAAATTCTGGCTAGACAGGTTCCTTTTACTGTTGGATCACTCTGCTTGTTTATTCATCCGGGTCACTCAGTATGTGATCTGCCCACCACCCAGTCTCGTGGCACTCCATGGGGGCTGTAAACCACCTGGTGCCAGTGTAGGCTGTTAATACTTTGAGTCCAACGTAAAAGGCTGCTCTGTATGCCCTGCTGCCTACTCGGCTCCTTCCTGGGAAGGCCCTCAAGGAGAGGTGTGACTCCCTGGAGGTTTTCCTTTTAATAGACCTTGTTTTTTACTTTTATTTATTTATTTTTGTTCTCCATATTTCTCCCGCTCCGTCCAGGAAAAGTGGCATTTTCTTTCTTTCTTTTTTTTTTTTTTATTATTGGGCCATAGTTTTGGGGTTTCCTCCAGTCTCTGTCAGACCATTAAGTCTGGTCTTTTTACATAAATCTGAATTCTGTGCTACATTTTTCTCCTGCTCTGTCCAAAACTCTCTGTTGTGTTCCCTGTCAGAACAGTCATTGGTGGTAGCCGGGCACCATCTAGTTCTTCTGGTCTCAGGCTGGTGAAGTCTCTGGTTCATATGATCATTTAGTCCTTTGGGCTAGTATTTTCCTTGTGTCTTTGGTTTTCTTCATTTTCCTTTTCTCCATGTGGGATGGGACCAATAGATGTATCTTAGATGACTGCTCGTAAGCGTTTAAGACCCTGGACGCTACTCACCAAAGTAGGATGTAGAATATTTTCTTTATAAACTATGTGATGCCAGTTGACCTAGATGTCCCCTGAAACTATGGTCCTAGACCTTGTTTTTTAGAAGTGTTAGGTTTATAGAAAAATCATGCAGTAAGTGCAGAGAGTACCCCTCTGTATACAGTTTCTCTTGTTATTAGCATCTTCCATTAGTGTGGTGTATTTGTTGTAACTCATGCATCAGTAACGATACATTATTCTTAACTAAAGTCCAGTCTACCTAAGGGTTCACTCTTTGTGTTGTACACTCCTATGGGCTTTGACAAATGCATAATGTCATGTGTTTGCCATGACAGTGTCACACAGAATAATTTCACTGTCCTGAAAATACCCTGTGCTCCACCTAGTCATCCTTCCCTCTCTTTCCCCTCAGCCCCCAGCAACCATTGGTCTTTGACTGTCTCTGCAATTTTGTGTTAGAGTTAGAATTCCCAGCTCCTCCTGCAGTTTTTTATGTAGGTGCCAAGCAAGCACACCCTGGACCCATGCTGAGCAGGACAACAGGACAAGCCCTGCTGTCCGTGAGCTGAGAAGTGTCTTGCTCTCTTGCAGGGAGACTGCTGTTGAGAGACTTGATTCATTAATACAAGCAACTCATGTTGCCATGAGAGGCAACTCCGATTACAGCGATCCTAATGACGGCTGGCTCGAAATTATACGTAAGTCCAAGCTGCACACATGGGAATTGTGGAACTTGGTTGCTATGACTACTGACAGCCAGTTGTAGTACTAGAGCCCCACCTGATAGGTTGTCTTTCTTTTCTCTGGCCTAAACCAAAAAACCAAACCAAACCCATCACTGTTGAGCCGATTCTGACTCATAGTGACCCTGTAGGACAGAAGTAGAACTGCCCCATAGGGTTTCAAAGGCTGTAAATCTTTACGAGAGCAGACTGCCACATCTTTCTCCCACAGAGCGGCTCTTGGGTTCAAACCACTGCCCTTTAGCTTAGCAGCCGAGCGCTTAATCTGAGCTTTAAAAGGAGTGCCGGTGGTGCGGTGGTTAAGTGCTCGGCTGCTAACCAAAAGGTCAGCAGTTTGAACTCACCAGTCACTCTAAGGGAGAAAGATGTGGCAGTCTGCTTCCTTATAGATTACAGTCTTGGCAACTCTATGGGGTAGTTCTGCTCTGTCCTATAGGGTTGCTGTGAGTCGGAATCAACTCGACGACAGTGGGTTTGGCTTTAGGGTTTGGAGCTGGGTCTTTGTGGACAGGTTAACTCTTCAAGCAGAAGCCTCTTCACATCTTTCCCCTTTTATTAGTGATGCCATTTTTGTTTTTTAAATGGAAATCCACATGAAGTTCAAATTGTCCAGTGGGTTTGTGAGCTAATAATCTTTGTGAAAGAAAGTCCCAGTGAGGTTTGGAGACTTTTGGTGCATTTTACTTTGCATTGCTATTTTTTAATTTTTCACCAGGAATGTGGGCAGTTGAGAATTGACTTTGGAATAGATAAAAGCAGTTTTGTTAACAGAAAGTAAGGTGATTGAAAGCATTGTGTTAAGTGAAAGAAGCCAGTCACAAAAGACCATGTATTGTGTGATCCCATTTATATGAAATGTCTAGAATGGATAAGCCCATAGAGACAGAAAGCAGATTAGCGGTTGCCTGGGGCTGGTAGGGGGACGCCCTCATGGCGCAGCAGTTAAGACCTTGGCTGCTAACCAAAAGGTCAGCAGTTCGAATCCACCAGCTGCTCCTTGGAAACCCTATGGGGCAGTTCTCCTCTCTCCTATAGGGTCACCATGAGTCAGAATCGACTCAACAGCAATGGGTTTGGTTTGGTTTGGTTTTGGGGCTGGGGAGAGTGGAAGAAGAGGCAGTTAGGAGGTGCCAGCTAAAGCATTTGGGCTTTCTTCTTGGGGTGATGAAAACGTTTTAAAATTGATTGTGCTGATGGTTGCACAACACTGTGAACACACTAAAAGCCATTGAATTTTGCACGATAAATGGGTGAATTGTGTGCGTGTGGATTATATCTCAACAACACAGCTCAAGAAAAAAATAAGGTGCGACAGATCCAATAGTAGCAAGGGTTGTGGAGGCCTGATAAAAGACTTCATTGTCCAGGGCTTCCAGCCCAAGGCACACACAGTGTCGGGTGAGTGTCAGGTGAGCAGGGGGATCCTGCGTGAGGAGGAGACACCACAGGCTCTTGGAGAAGCTCGAATGGCCTGCCGTCACAGACCCGGTTTTCACCTCCGAATCCTAAATGTCCATCTAGTCATTGAGATCCAGCTCCCTCCCATTATTGGTGGAGAAACCTAAGGTCTGGCAGAGGCAGGACTAGAACCCAGGCTTCCAGCTTCATTCCACTCTTGCCAGGTGGGGAGTTTCTTGAGAAGTCATTAGTCTGCGTTGAATAGAGAGGTTCTTCCGTTGCAATAATTAGTGGGGGCCAGAGAGAGCTGAGTGACTCTACGGTATCCACTCCGAGCCCCTCCCATCTCTGCAGATGCTGTCCCCACCAACCCGCCGGCCTGGTGGAGCAGCTCTCTGGACCCCACCTTCTCCCTTTTCACTTCCTGTGAAGTCACTGTGATTGAGCAGGCTAGAATTCCCACCAAGGACCACCTAGACACATGCTTCCTGGCCTTGTGCTTAGGGTTGGGATGATTCCGACCCCCTATCCCACCTTGGGTGGCCAGGGATCATGTCCTGTGTCTGTGGGTTTGAAGGGCCCTGGACCTCACACTTCACTCTGTGACACGGAGCCGGGGTCCTCTCTCAGCCCCAGGGCTCTTCAGACTGCAGTTTTCCTCACCAGTCCGTGCTCAAGTCCCCAGGCCCAGAGTTCTGTCCTTGTTTGAAAACAGAACCAGAGGTGAAGCATGTCAGCCCCTGGCCTCTGCCATCGGGCCAGCTAGCTGGATGTGGAACAACTGACTGAAGGGGAGAAGGAGTCAGAGCACCTGAGAAGTACAGAGTGTGGGACATTTCAGGAGAGGGATCCAGGACAGGCAAGCAGGGAGAGGAGGGATGGCGTTTTGTTACCTTCAAGGTGGAGGCACTTAGCTTCTGTTTCATGTCTCAGCCAGAAAGCACCCTGATCCTGGTGATAGAGAGGAGACTTGCTGCTGACACATGAGTCTCGAGGAGGAGAAAATTAGACATTATACAGAAAGCATGCCATTGACTTTCAAAACCTCCCCCCAGGAAACACTGAAACACCCCTCCCCACCCCCAGTCCCGGTAGAACCTGCTGTCTACCTCCTATAATAGACCAGGCTGTTTTACCCCCTAACTGCCAGTTGGAGCCCTGGTGGCACAGTAGTTAAGAGCTACAGCTCTAACCAAAAGGTCAGCAGTTCAAATCCACCAGCCGTTCCTTGGAAACCCTATGGAGCAGTCTTACTCAGTCCTATAGGGTCGCTGTGAGTTGGAATCGACTTGATGGCAATGGGTTTTTTTCAGTTAAGTGCCAGTTTTCAAGATAAATAGAAATTAATGTCTCATTCAATTTTATTCTCGTCCGGTTGTATTACTTCCATGGCAACACATTAGAAAATTACCTCTTATTTACTGAAAAGCTGTTAATAGGGTTTTTAAATATCATATGCAGTGTTTGTTAGAACAATGACTCTAGGAACTAACTCTCGATGGCATTTTACTGCAGTTATGTGGTATTTCTGTTAAAAGGCGAAGTGGGCTTCAGTTGGAAACTTGGAAACTGAATCATCGTTTATGGTCTTATTATGTGAGTCGGAGTGGCTGGTGGGTTCATACAGCTGACCTTTCAATCAGCAGCCAAGTGCTTAACCACTGTGCCACCAGGGCTCCTTCCTGTAAAGATCGCAGCCTAGGAAACCCTATGGGGCAGTTCTACTCTGTCACATGGGGTTACTGTGAGTCAGAATTGACTTGGTACCCAAAAACAACAATGTGATTCTTATCCAGTATTATTTCTCTCTTTTTTTAAATCACTGCATTGTAGGAAGAACGTTTTTAAACTGTTCTTTGAAAAATGCATAACTTAACATTTCTGCAGGTGTAGCGGCACCTGACACAGGTGCAGGCCCGTCTGTTAGCAGCACGCCCGGGGTCTGCCTGGGTATTCCTGCTCAGCTGAGCGTCCGCATACTCATCTCTGAGGCTGGCGCAGTGGAAGGGATTATTCAGCAGGAGATACTTGCCGTGGAGACAAGGTATGAGCACATCATGGAGAAGTGTAGCTTACAGAAAGTCAGAATGTTGAGAGCACTCCAAAGAAGCGAGAAACGCTTACTTAGAATCTGATTGTTTATTTACAAATTGCAAGTATTAGCCATATGATTACATGTATAATTGGAATCTGTTTTTACTCACAAGGACAAGCAGTCCCCAGGTTACAAATGTCCAGCTTACGGACAACTTGTTAGATGCTGTCAAGTCAGTTCTGACTCATAGCGACCCTACGTACAACAGAACGAAACGCTGCCCGGTCCTGCGCCATCCTCACTGACATTGCTATGCTTGAGCCCATTATTGTAGCCACTGTGTCAGTCCATCTCATTGAGGGTCTTCCTCTTTTTCGCTGACCCTCTACTTTAACAAGCATGATATCCTTCTCCAGGGACTGGTCTCTCCTGATGACATGTCCAGAGTATGTGAGACATCCTTGCTTCTAAGGAGCATTCTAGTTGTACTTCTTCCAAGACAGATTTTGTTCGTTCTTTTGGTGGTCCATGGTATATTCAATATTCTTTGCCAACACCACAATTCAAAGGCGTCAGTTCTTTTTCAGTCTTCTTATTCATTGTCCAGCTTTCGCAGGCATATGAGATGATTGAAGACACCATGGCTTGGGTCAGGCGCAGCTTAGCCCTTCCTGAAAGTCACATCTTGGCTTTTTAACACTTTAAAGAGGTCTTTTGCATCAGATTTGCCCAATGCAATACGTCGTTTGATTTCTTGACGGCCATTTCCATGGGCGTTGATTGTGGATCCAAGTAAAATGAAATCCTTGTCAACTCATACTTCCCCTTTAGTGTTATATAAGTTTGCCCTCACTTTGAAACTACTGAACAACTCCTACTCCCAACAAATTCTTCATCTTAATTGCCTTCACTTGTTGCACATGCAGCTCTTAAATCACATAAAAGGCTTTGAGCCTTTTCTTGCACTAAATAAGAACCATATGCACCCGTTGCCGACTTACGCATGTGACTTAAAGGGACAGTCAGGAACGGATCTGGTTTGTAACCCGGGGACTGCCTGTATTTATAAAGCTATGTGTAAGGGACTCTGAAAGGCATTTAGGAAATATTGCGATGAATATGGGGCTACCTAGTGCTAAGAGTATTTTGAAATCCATGAATATAATTGACATTCTGATCAAGGATTATAGTCTAGTGGTTAGAGCAGATAGCGGGGTTCCGATTATGAGTTGTGCGACATTGTGCGGTTACTGCACCTCTTCAGAGCGGCAGTTTCCTCATCTGTGAAATGGTGATATCACCTTTATCTGTCAGAGCTCTTTCAGCGTTAAGTGAAAGAAACCCAGTTCATGCTGACTTAAGCAAAAGGGAACTTTACTGGTTTAGGTTCCCGAACGTCCACGGCTAACTCATGGTTCTCCAGTGCCTTGGTCAGGAGTCTGTTTCCTCATCATCTCTTGGCTCTCCTTTCCTTCGAGCTGGCTTTCTTTTCAGGGAGCAATTGCACGGGAACATCAGTTTATCAACCCCAGCGGAAGGAGAGTGTGTCTTCCTCCATCTTTACAATCTGGGCAGATTTTTATTGGTTCAGTTGGAGTCGTGTGCTCACTTCTGAACCAGTCATGATAGCTGGGCCAATAGGCAACTCTGATTGGGTGGGCTCAGGCAATGAGCCCGCCCCTAGATTCAGGGAATGGGGTTGGTCCTTTCTGGTCCACTGGAACTGAGAACGGGGAAGGGTGATTCCCCAAGGGAACATTTGGGTGCAATTTCCAGAAGAAACAAGGGATGCTGGGTAGACAGAAGCAACTGATGTTACTACATACATCCACCTTATAGGATCGTTTTGAGGATAAAATGAGATGGTATATAAAGCACTTTAGCCCTATGCCTGGCACAGTGGAAAGCTGTTAGTAGTAGTAGTTGAAGAAGCCCTGGAGGCACAATGGTTAAGCACTCGACTGCTAACTGTGAGGCCATTGTTTGAACCCACCAGCGGCTCCACGGGAGAAAAAGACCTGGTGTTCTGCCTCCGTAAAGATTACACCCCAGAAAACCCTATGGGGCAGTTGTACTCTGTTACATGGGGTCACTGTGAGTCGGAATGGACTCGATGGCACATACAACACAACAACAAAAACAGTGGTGGTCGTTGTTGCTATTATTATTGTTATTTTATTGTTTGAAACAAACAAGTGTCAAAACAAATTAACTGTAAGAACCCCAGTATGGACTAAACCAAAGCTGAGAAGTTTCCTGAACACAACCAAACGCTTCAAGGGACAGAGTAGCAGGGGCAGGGGGCTGGGGACCATGGTTTCAGGGGACATGTAAGTCAACTGGCATAACAAAGCTTATTAAGAAAATGTTCCTCATCCTTCTTTGGTGAGTGGCATCTGGGGTCTTAAAAGCTTGCAAGCGGCCATCTAAGATGCATCAATTGGTCCCGACCACCTGGAGCAAAGGAGAATGAAGAACACCAACGACATAAGGAAAACAGTAGCCCAAGAGACAGAAAGGGCCACATAAGCCAGAGACTCCATTAGCCTGAGACCAGAAGAACTAGATGGTGCTCGGCTACCACCAATGACCGTCCTGACAGGGAACACAACAGAGAGTCCCTGACAGAGCAGGAGAAAAATAGGGTGCAGAACTCAAATTCTAGTAAAAAGACCAGACTTAATGGTTTGACTGAGACAGGAGGGACCCTGGAAGACATGGTCCCCGGACTCTCCATTAGCCCAAAACTGAAACCATTCCCAAAGCCAACTCTTCAGACAAAGATTAGACTGGACTATGGGACATAAAATGACTCTTGTGAAGAGTGTGCTTCTTAGCTCAAGTAGATACATGAGACTAAATGGGCAGCTCCTGTCCAGAGGCGAGATGAGAAGGCAGAAAGGGACAGGAGCTGGTTGAATGGACACGGGAAATCTGAGGAGGAAAGGAGAGTGTGCTGTCACAGTATAGGGAGAGCAAGTAGGGTCCCATAACAATGTGTGTATAAATTTTTGTATGAGAAACTAACTAGAACTGTAAACTTTCACTTAAAGCCCAATAAAAATAAAAAATGAAAAAAGCCTCAGTATGAAATGAGGTAACTGGGGAGGAGAGAGATGAAACAAGATTGGCAAAATGTTGGTATTTGTTGTAGCCTGGTCCTGGGTACACAGGGGGTCATTATTCTAATCTCTCTTTTTTGGTGTATATTTGAAAATGTATGTATTACAGAAAAATGGAGTTTGAAACTTTAGGAGAACCTCAGCTCATGTCCTCACTGTGCAAATCACCTGATTTTTCTTTTTTTGAAATTTTGTTGTGCTTTAGGTGAAAGTTTGCATGTCAGGTTAGTTTCTCATTCTAAAATTTATGTACAGATTGCTTTGTGACATCAGCTGCAGTTCCCGTGATGTGTCAGCACTCTCCCCCTTTCCACCCTGGGTTCCCCATGTCCGTTTGTCCGTTTTTCCTGTCCCTTCCTGCCTTCTCTTCTTGGTTTTGGGCAGGTGTTGCCCATTTGGTGTCGTATACTTGATTAAACTAAGAAGCCCTTTCCTTATGGGTGTTATTGTTTGTTTTATAGGCCTGTCTAATCTTTGGCTGAAAGATGGACGTTGGGAGTGGCTCAGTTCTGAGTTAGCTGGGTGTCCGGGGGCGATAGTCTGGGGGTTTCCCCCAGTCTCTGTCAGACCCGTACATCTGGTCTTTTTTTCATGAATATTAATTTTGTTTTGCATTTTTCTCCCGCCCTGTCCGAGAGCACTGATGTTCTTAACGGAATAGAAGCGCGTGGTGGATGTGTTGTCTGTGTCATCTTTTCTCCCAGGTCCTCCCCCGTGGACTGGCAGTACCAGTGTGGGCTGACCTGTGAAGACAAGGCCGACCTTTTCCCTCTCAGCGCGTCGGTCCAGTTTATTAAAATACCTGCCCAGTTACCCCGCCCACTGACCAGGTAATGCCAGGGCTGAGCTGATCTGGGTGGCATTGTTAGGAAGCAGAAAAATATATAATAGGAGATAGGACATTTATTTCTTCATTCTTCAGTCAAGCTTAGATGCTTTTCACTCATCACTGTCTTAACCTTCTAAAATGTTTTATAGATTCCAGGCCAGTTGTACAGAGCATGACTGTAACAGAAACGAGGTGTGCTGGCCGCAGCTTCTGTATCCCTTGACTCGATATTATCAAGGTAAAGCAGTTTCTGGAGTGGTCATCGTCATGTTTTTGTCAATGTTTAAAAAACAATTGTAAAGAACAGTAACACCTACGAAAGCTGGAATCTGTGTGAGGCGGAAACCTGTCAGAAAAGGAAAGCGCAAATGCTTTTCACTAAAGGAGAGACAGACGAGTGATAGGACTGCACCTGTCAAAGGCAGAAAACTTACCCGACCTGGAAAAGCAGGGCGGCCCTGTCAGTTCCGGCTCTCATGGGTTTCACTGTAATATGTAAACATCATAGGAAACTTGAAGCCTATAGCAAAGATTTAAAAAGAAAATAATTACGGATAATGTTGCCACTTAAAAATGATTACTATAAATGGTTTGCTTATTTCTACCTAAATAATTACCAAGAAAAAAAAGTTAAGAAATAGTGATGTTGCTGAATTGTATTTGTTGTCTTGCAGGGGAGCCCTATTCTCACTGCATTGCCAAGGGCTTCCTCTTGGTCTCCTTTCTCGTATTGGCTGTGTTCCTGAGTAACCCCGGGACTAGGATATGCAGAGCGTGGAATTCATCGGCCATCTGACTTCTGAAGGACTACAGACGTTCACGTCCGTGATTTCACTGTGCTCCTATGTGCCCGTCTGCATGAGTGAATGAAATGTCTTACTTTTGTAGAATATTTTGATTAAGTGCTCTGCGAATGTAATTAATCTCTGTAGCTATCCAAATGTTCAAAGCAACTCGGAGCAAACATTTTTATCCCTGGACCAGACCAAGTAAAATGCACGAGAGACTCACCTGTTAATAGATGTTAATAGATATTCTAGTTGATCACAAAGCACTAAAGTCATGGGAGTTTTGGGCCAAATACGTTATTTGTACTTGAAAGAGTCAATCTTTTAAAAATATGTTTATATATGAGTGTTGAATTCATTGGTTCATTTTCCATATTCCAAAGAAAGGATTTCAAGCAGCCTTTAAAAATGCATATAATACCAAAAAAAAAAAAAGTCACTAAAGAAAGGTATAGGACAGGGTGAACACTGGGAGAGGGAAAATAATATAGGGAGGAAAGTAAAAAAACAAAAAAAAAAACAGGGATGAATGTAAACACATGAAAATATATGCCAAAGATTCTTCTGCATTTTTATCAAAGGTAGACCCCTAACTTAATCCTCAGCTTCCAAAAAACTAATATGATTAGCTCAAGAATCATGGGGTTCATAAATGAAAAATAAAGTGGCTTTCAGATGAAGGACCGTTTTTCCTAGCTGAGTCTTGAGAGAAGTTCCTCTCCTGGCCCCTAACGAGGGACAGACGGTGTGATGTGTGATGCAGTGGGAGGGAAGTCTAACCACAGCCTACAGCAGCTGCAAGACAAATCTCCTGTGGTTTCTTTGTGTGTTCCAGATAATTTATTTCGTTGTCATTTCAGATGGATTTCGTGCACCATTGGTAACCCTAATTTTGAAAAAGTGCTTCTTTTCCGCTTTACAATTTGTGATTGAACTCATGGGGCCTCTGGATGTCCCAGCACTACTTAAGATGTGTGGCCTCTTCACTGCAGTGTTGCTGGCCAGGGGAAGTTTCAAATCTTCCTTCTAATCTTTAACCCATTTTAAAATAGGGGGACCAGCTGTTCATCTCCCAGTTCATAATATTCAACAAAATGGAGACACTGAGTTTCAGGCATCTGTTCTCTGATTATCATGGACCTTCACCTAACCCCAGGGTAGGGCTGGCTTAGGGTCAAACAGTACTGGACCTAGTGGAGCTGGGGCTAGGCAGATGTTTGCCACACTTCAGCTATTTGAATTCACCTCCCCAGTTCTTGGAGCCCTGGTGGCACAGTGGTTAAGAATTTAGCAGCTAACCAAAAGATGGATAGTTTGAATCCACCAGCCGCTCCTTGGAAACCCTATGGGGCAGTTCTACTCTGTCCTCTAGGGTTGCTGTGAGTTGGAACGGACTCGACGGCAATGGGTTTTTCCCAATTCTTACCATATCTGAGTATCACCTCTATTGTTATTTAAACTTTTGTTTAAATAGAATTGCCTTAAAATATGTATGTGCCTTAAGATATATAGATATTATTGCTTGAGTTGAGGCTATATATGTATGTTGTTGTTAGGTGCTGTCGAGTTGGTTCCGACTCATAGTGACCCTAGAGGACAGAGTAGAACTGCCCCATAAGGTTTCCAAGGAGCGGCTGGTGGATTCAAACTGCCAGCCTTTTGGTTCGCAGCCAAGCTCTTAACCACTGCGCCACCAGGGCTCCATATGTATACATATACACACAGTATTTGTGAAATTATAGGTTTTGTGTTGTAGTCATGTTTTTTCCTAATTTATATTAAATGTGTAACTAATGACAGTTATTTCCCCGTCAAGGAGGAGGGGGAACCACTGTTTGAACTACGTTAGGGAAATTGAGGAACCCTCCTCCTCCTTCTGTCTCTTTGATTTGTATCTGTGGGTTGAATGGATTACCCAGTATAGAAGGAGTCACAAGTTGTCTTTTGTCAAAGAAAGATTAACAGATTGCGATCACTCAGAAAGTCATTTCATGCAGTTAGTGTAACCAGCTCCGGATTTAGGAGATTTATGGAAAATTAGTTTAAAATCCCCGAATGACAGGTAATGTAGCCTGATATTGTGGGTTTTGTCCGGATGCCCTTTGTGCTTGAAAAAGGAAAAACTCGCTTTGGCAGTGGGGCCTGGAGGGCATTCTGTATAGTTTTAGTTTTTCTGAGTTGATACATTCATGCATGCATTCAAGAAATAGTTCCTGAGCAGCTACTACATGCCAGGCCCTGGTGATTCTACTTGCAAGGCTCTGGAGAGACCGCAGTGACATGACAGTGTCCCTGCTCTGTCCCTGGTTACACCCTAGTGGAGGAAGACTGGCAACAGACAAGGAGCCAGGATAGTGGTGAGTGCGCTGAAGGAAATAAAGCAGAAGGTGTGGTGGACTGGGGTGGGAGGGCTACTTTAGATAGGGCGAGAGGGGCAACCTCAGGGAGGAGGGGTCCTGTGAACTGGGACTCCATGGAGCCTCCTTTGAGAAGGTCTGGGGAGGGGTGTTTTAGGCAGAGGGCAAATCTGCAAGTTCAAATGCTCTGGCCCATGTGTGTTTGAGAAACAGCAGGCCTTTGCGGCTGGAGCCAGGGGAGCCCAGGGCAGGCGGAAGACAGCGGTTGGAGAAGGCAGCGGATCTGATGGGGTTTTGCTATTCATAGTGAGAGGTTTGCATTTTATTCCGAATGCAGTGGGAGAAGCCGGAGGTGTTTCAGTGGATTCGCATCAGATTTTAGTCTTGATTCAGAGAGATGGCTGGAGCTGCTGTGTGGAGAATTGTGGAAGGTGACAGTGGCCAGGGGACTACAGTGGTCCAGGCATGGCCCCGGTATCTGATGTGCAGGGGGACACAGGGCCTGAGAGAAGCCGGTGGCCGAAGCCAGATGCAACGGCCACGCAGTGTGTCATTCCATCGACACAAATGTCCAGAGCAGGCAAATCCCACGCGTTCAGGGGTCGCCGGGAGGTGGTGGTGGAAAGCGGGAGGGACTGCAATGGGGCTGGAGGGATCTTTTTGGGGTTGGTGGAAAAGTCCTAAAAGTGGGTTGTGATGATGAATTCACTGAAAATGATAGTCGGGTGAATTTTATGGCATATCAATACAACTCTTTTAAACTCTAAGGAGTAAAGAGAACGGCCGTTTCCTCCCGCGTCCGCCGAGCGCAGGAGCCGCCGCTTCCACCGCGGGATACCGCGAGTTGGCCCCGCCGGGGCTGCTCCCGGAACTCCGAGCGGCCATTGGTCGGCCAGCCGGGGGCGGGACGCGCGGGGGCGGAACCGGAACCGGCTGCGACTCGGGGGGCGGGGCCTCGCTGCAACTGTGGCGGCTGCTGTAGCGGCGGTCGGGGTGGCAGGACGAAGGCGCCCGCTGCAGCCCCGAGCCCCATGCTTCGGGCTCGCAGCCAGGCCGCAGGGAAAACCCGAGGCCCAGGCTGCCCAGGGTGAGCCCACGGGCCTAGAGCCGCCGGCCGCCATGGGGTCGCTGTTCCGGAGCGAGAGCATGTGTCTGGCGCAGCTCTTCCTGCAGGCGGGCACGGCCTACGAGTGCCTCAGCGCCCTGGGAGAGAGGGGCCTGGTGCAGTTCCGAGACGTGAGTGTCGCCGCGAGCCCCGCACCTGCTCCCAACCCGCCTCCTCTGGGGCCTGCTTGCCGCGAGCGCCCGGGGAGGAGGGGGGCGCCCCCTTGCTCTCACTTCCCTGACAGGCAAGCCGAGGCCTCAGTTTACCCGCCGGAGGTCTCGCAGAGCTAGGACCCGAGCGCGGGGTCGGCGGAGCGCTGGTCCGAGGCGTCTGTACCCGGGTAGTTAGGAGCGCTTCTTGATAGTCTTGAGCAACTTCCCGTGGGATTCAGAGGTGCTCCGAGTACCGACTTAGTGCTAGGCACCGAGACCGGGTCCAATGAGGCTTCTTGGAGTCCTTCTGGAACTTCCGGGGGTGCCGGGAGACCAATACTAAGCAAATAAATACGCACACAAGAAGACGTTTGCTATAGAGACAGTCAAACAAGGCGGTGTGATGGTGACTCCGGTGGGGTATACGTTTGAAGGGGTGGTCAGGGAGGGCTTCTCTGAGGAGGTGACTTTGAGCTGAGAGTCGAATGGGCAGAGGCGAGCCATGGGCAGGTCTGTGGTAGAGGGTCCCAGGTGGAGGCAACAGGAAGGGCACAGCGCTTGAACTGGGACTGAGCTCGGGGTCAGCTCTTTGGGGGAAGGGGTTCTCATGGGTTTTGTTCACAGATGGTGTACATACCAGTGCCTGGTAGGGAATAGGAGCGCAGTCAGTATTTGCTGAGTGGAAGCCGTCTCCCCAACAAGTAATAATAAACACTTTTATGTGTCTGTTTACTTGTCTGTTGTTTCGTTTCCACCATGGACAGCAGACCCTCCAGGCTGAGGACCTTGCCTTTCTTGTTCACGCCTGGTTCTCCTCCGCTCAGCACAGCCCCTGGCAGAGAAAGCACTCAATAGGCGTTTGTTGAGTGAATGAACAAGCTTTTATTCAGTGCGTACTATGTACCTGGCACTGCTTTTGGTGCTGCAGACTCAGTGGTGAGCAAGGCAGACAAGGTCCCTGTGTTCATGGATCTCCTAGTGTGGGAGGAGACAGATGAACACTGGTTATGAACTGTGATAAGTGCTGTGAAGGAAAAGACCAGAATGTGGAAAGGACACTATTAAGCAGGACCTAGCACTTCTTCTTCTTTTTTTTTTTTAAATAATATTTTATTCTGTTTTTGGTGAAGGTATACACAGCAGTTTAGGTCCCCATTCAACAGTTTCTACACACATTATTCACCGACATTGGTTACATTCTTTATAGTGTGTCAACATTTTCATTTCCTTTCTGGCTTTTCTGTTGGCACTGATGTAATTTCCTTGCCCCCTTACCTTCTGGTCTTTATTTTAAAGACTTGTTGACCCGCCTGGTCTCATAGAGATGATTGTTTTAAAGGCGCACACTACTCATGGGCGGTGTTCTTTATTTTGTGAGCCAGTCTGTTATTTAACTAAAAGGTGACCTCAGGAGCTAGTTTTGGTTCTCAGGGCAGTAGTCTCAGGGAGTCCTCCAGTCTCAATTGGTCCAGTAAGTCTGCTTTTTTTTCTTTTTAGAATTTAGGTTCTGTTCATAGTTCTTCCCATTCTGTCAGGGTCTGCCGATTGTGGCTGTGATCAGAACTGTCAGTAGTGGTAGCCAGGGACAATCTAGAAGACCTGGTACTTTTTAATTGGATTGAAAGTCACTTCAGGTGAACATTTTATATCTTGGGCCACACTTTCATCTCCTTACTGTTTGCCTTCATCTTTCTGCATGGTCCTTAACTCAAAAGAGAAGGCCCCTACCTGTGATCCAACCTCGGTGATCCCTTGGGTTGGCTCGGTGATCCCTTGGGTTGGCTCCGTAAGGCGATTCCAGGTCAGAGGGAAAGTCCTGAGTGACAGATAAGGCCCAGCCCGCTTCCTGGTTCCTGGAGCCGCTAGGACTTCAGCACACGGCCCCACTGGCCTGGCAGATGCTGTTGCTGACAAGTGGAATAGGCTCCTTTCTGCTAACAGGTGCATTGTTCCATCTTGTTAATATCCCAGCCCAAAGACTTACACTTCAAATCTTAGGGCTCTGAACAAATGCTCTAATCACCACAAAGGTTTGTGTTTCACTGAGTGCCATTGCATTAAACCCGTTGCTGTCAAGTCAAGTCCTGACTCAGCTATCCTACAGGACAGAGTACAACTGCCCCATAGGGTTCCCAGGGAGTGGCTGGTGGATTTGAACTGCTGACTTTTTGGTTAGTAGCCAGGCTCTTAACCACTGCACCACCAGGGCTCTGTTATTACAGTAGGCAGTAGCACATACTTGTAATTTTTTAACAGAAAATCAGTGAGAGAAAATGGTGCTGTTTGTGCTTTTTCAGAAGGAAAAATAGAACTAAAATGCTAAAATGAGCTCTTCCTCTCGTGGTGCTAGGTTTCCAGAGTTCAGACAAGTGTGTCTGTGCGTGCGTGTGTGTGAATGCCAGTACAGAAGGCTCTGTCATAACTCTGACTCTTTCTTCCTGCTCTTTCCTGGAGTTTCGCACGGACCTTGCATTCCCCACATGGGATCACGGAAATCAGTCTTCTTGCTTGCGTAGGCTGGCCAATCTTTCCCTTTTCCTCTAGTTAACACTTCTAAGGGCAAGCATTTCTGTGGTAACAGCCAGTGAGAAGACCTGGAAAAGAAAGGTTACTAGACTAACCAGTAGGACTCAATGAAGGGAAAGTTCATCTCATTTTTCTAAGTCTGCAATCTGAGAACAACGTTCACCTTCAGTCCTTCAGCTCCTAGAGAGGATTGAATGGTGTGACTGTCAGTAAAAACCATGTCTGTATCCTCTGCTGGTTTTTCTAGGTTAAATGCTGGTCTTCGAATGAATCGACGTTAACATGTACTTTATACCATTAGCCTTGAATTAGGGCGACTTTGCCTCCCGAAAAGAAACAACAACAAAACAAAACAAAACTTTGTAAAAGAAAAATCATGCAACAAAAAAAAAGGTTAATTATGTAAGGTGGTCCTGGTCTTGTGTGTCAAATTCAGTCACATTCCTATCATTGCTACAGAAGTTAACCTTTCTTTAAAGGTTTTACTATTTGTAAAACTGTAATGTGTGATTTGAGTTAGCTAGTGTTTGATACAGAAGAAAAACATTCAAACTGAGAAGCAGTGTCGTAGGGAGACACATTTTGATACGGTAACATAGTTTTCTTTTCACATTCTTAGGTCTCTAGAAATAGCTTGTATCTGAGTTATTAGGAACTTGGAAGTGGGTAGTAGCGTTTCCAGAAATGAAAGAGAATGTGGCAGGCAGAAGTGAAATCAATTCTTTAGCTTTCTTCTGGTCAGTCCTTTAAAACAATTTTCAAAAACTGGACTCTAACCTCGCCTTTGGGGTGGATTCTTTTCAGGTGGTTTGAGCAGTTTCATGCCAGGTTGTTGTCTGACTTTTGAGAGTGCCCAGCACAAATGCTGGACCCAAGAAAGATAAAATTCTTGTCCTAAATGCCTTTCAACATGAATGATTCCTGATAATTAAAAAAAAAATTATGCTGGTAGTGATTTGTGTTCACTGTGGAAAATTTGGAAGACATAAGAATAAGCTAATATATTCCACAATCCCATTACCCAGAAATAAACACTTGTACTTTTTCAAGTAACATTTTCAAATAATATTATTTTAATAATATTTAAAAATGTACATGTGTATGTATTTTTAGAACATTGGACTCATATTGAAAGTATTAAGTTGACTTTTGCATATACAAACTAATTGCCTCATTTTATTAAATATTCTTTCTCAGTACTTTTTTAATTTCTTAAGTTTTGAATTATGAAAAGTGAAGTAGAGTGAATAGTACAGTGAACCCACCATGTGTCCCTCACACAGTTGTTATGTAATTCATGGTGCCCTTGTTCCATGCCCTCACCCTCACCCTTTCCTCCCACTCTGGATTACTTTGAAGCAAATTCCAGATGTATCATTTTATTTGTGAATGTCAAGTATCTCTAAAAGATAAGGACTCTTAAAAATCACAACCACCATACCATTATCATACCTAAAAATTTCAATAATAAATTTCTTAATATAATCAAATGTCTGGTCATTGGAAACATCGTATTTAATAACTGCATACTGTTCAGTTGTATGATTGAGCCATAATTTTTATTCACCTTTATTGAGGTACATCATAAAATTCACCCATAAGTGTACAATTCACTGATTTTCAGAAAGTTTACCAAGTCGTGCAGCTCTCATCACAGTCCAGCGTTAGAACATTTCCATCACCCCAGTAAGATCCCCCCTGCCCATCTAGAGTTAATTCCCGTTCTCACCCCCAGCCCCAGGCAGCCACTAATCTACTTTGCGTTTCTATGGATTTGCCTATTCTGGATATTTCATGTAAATGTAATCTTTTAATATATGACCTTTTGTGACTGGCTTCTTTCACTCAGCGCATCCATACTTTTGAGGTTCATTTGGGTTGTAGCATGTTCATTCTTATTTATTGCTGACTAGTATTCCATTGGAGCCCTGGTGGCGCAGTGGTTAAGAGCTCAGGCTGCTAAACAAAAGGTTGGCAGTTCGAATCCACCAGCTGCTCCTTGGAAACCCTCTGGGGCAGTTCTACCCTGTCATGTAGGGTCACTATGAGTCGGAATTGACTCCGTGGCAGTGGGTTTTTGTTTTTGGTTTAATATTTTATCGTATGGGTATAGACCATAATTTCTTCAGCTAATTTTCACTTGTTGGATGTTTGTGTTATCATTTTTTTCTATTGGGGGAATAATCCCTCGGTTTGATGATGGTCTGTATAAATTTTTGTTCAGATCCATAGTTTTTCCTTAGGATAAATTTCTTCATGAGAGGTTGCTCGGCCAAAGGATATTCTTGAAGTTTTTGTATTTGTTAACAACAGTTGCCAAATTGCTCTCCAGAAAAGTCCTGCCAGTTTATACTCCCATTCAGTAGTTTCTGAGGATGTTCTTTTCCCCAAGCCCTCGCCAATATAGGGTATTTTTTATTTGATTTTAAAAATCAATTTCATTTTAAAAATCACCTCCTGAACATTAGCAGTTTTAAAACAATTTCTTCATGTTTTGCTCAGCTCAACCAGAGTGTCAGTTCCTTCCAAAGAAAATTTGTTGGTGAGATGAAGAGGTGTGAAGAACTGGAGAGAATATTGGGTAAGTTTGTTTGCTATCTAACAACCCAACTAATTATTTTTATATAACCAAACCTCATTTATTTTAGGAAAATATAGATAAGCAGAAATGAGAAAAGAAGTCACCCATATTCCCAGGGTTCCGAGGTCGTCACTGTTACATAGGTGCATATTATCTTTCCATACTTCTTACTGTTGATCTATGAAAGGAAGGCTTTCCTTCCGTACACAGTAGTCAGCTTATTTTGTTATCAGCTTTGTTGCTCACTTACCAGTACTAATTAGGAATATCCTTCTGTTATCTTTGTAAATTGTTATTAATGTACCATGGTTTATCTAACCAGTCTCCTCTAGTTTAATATAACTTAAAAACACTGGCTACGTGCGAAGATAACACGTAGCTGAAAAGGAACCGGGGAGGCAGGAAGTGGCAGATACATTGATCATAATTTCCTTCTTTTCAGGGCTTCATTTGCTAATGTGTTAGATCGTTGCCCTAGTTTACTTCCTTTACCTCTAAAATCTTTAACGGCTTTGCTGGAAATAGTCCTTATTAAGTTAAGCCTTGAACTTCTGGCTGACATAAAGGGGAAAAATGACCTGGAGCAGTGGACTGAAGTGCAACATTTGTTTTTAGAAGGATAGCCAGAAAAACAGGGGCGAGAGGGAGCTGCGGGGAGAAGTGACTTTTAAACCAATGTCTAATATAAAGAGGAAATGCGAATAGTTACTGTAGGTTTTATATTTTTTAACTGGGGATTTCTAATATTGAAAAAAAAGCTTTTCATCGTCTGAAATTGATTCCTTTTCATATTGCTTGAGGTCTTAGTTACTAGTGTGGATTGTGTACATTAAAAGGAACTCTGATGGTGCAGTGGTTAAGTGCTCGGCTACCATCCGAAAGGTCGGAGGTTGGAACCCACCAGTAGCTCTGCAGGAGAAAAGACCTGGCAATCTGCTCTCATAAGGATAACAGCCTTGGAAACTCTACGGGGCAGTTCTGCTCTGTCCTATAGGGTCGCTATCAGTTGGAATCGACTGGACAGCAACAGGTCAACGGCTGTACATTAAATGACATTGTATTCCCATCCTTTCAACATATATAAGTCATTGGACAGGTAGTATATTTGGAATGAAGTTTTTAAAGGAGGGCAAAAGTGATAACACAGTAGATATGTACAGAATGTCCTGTAGCTTAGTCTGTCTCAAAAAGAATACAGACTTCAAATCAAAAAAGGAACTGTCAAGTAATTTTTGATGTGTTGTAAATACGCTAAAACAATCTTGTTGGTAAGATATTGTTACAATTCTGTTAAAAAAATAAAACAACTAGCAACACTTCTTGGAAGTATGGTGTCTGATAATGACTTTACCAGACAGTGTGACTTTTGTCCTGAGGAAAAGGCCATTTCATGTCATTGAGAATATATATGAAAAATGGCTAAGTGCATCAGGCTAGTGTACTATTAGTTGCGTGAACCTAGTTTTTAATTCAAGCAGTGAAGCAGTGCAGGTGTTCTAAGTCAAAGCATCAGACTAACCTGGCAACCTCAGGAGAGCCTGGGTTTCTGTCCTGTTTCTTGCAGGGGTGCTTTTTGCTGATAGTCCTCATGGTTTTCTTGACAGATATCGAAACCTCCTGAGGGCGGCCTGCAAGTCCCACTGCTGTCTCCTGGGGTCTTAGTTATGTAGTGCTGCTATAACACAAATACCACAGGTCGTGGCTTTAAAGAACAGACATTTATTTTTCTCACAGTTTAGGAGGCTGAAAGTCTGAATTCAGGGTGAGGCTCTAAGGGGAGGTCCTTCTCTGTCTATTTCAGCTTCTAGTGGCTGGCAGTCCTTGGAGTTCCTGGACTTGACGGTCATTTGCCTCCCTCGTCATCAGATAGTGTCTGTCTTCCCCTGTGCCTGCTTCCTTGTCTCTGTTACTCCTTATAAGTCAAAAGTGATTAGGTTTAGGACCCACCCCACACTGCTATGGCCTCATTAACATAACAAAGAAAACCCTGCCCCCCAGTTTGGGCTACATCCACAGATATAAGGGTCAAGATTCCAACATGTATTTTTGGAGGAAAAGTTTAATCCATAACAACTAGTATAGGCCTATCACTGGGTCATTTCTGCAATTCCAACTGTGTTCTTTCTTCTTTCTCTCGGTACAGAGATAGTGTGGCTCCAAAGTTCTTTAACTGGAGGTTTAGATGTGAAGAAAATTTGGGGAATTTCAGAAAATGTTTATCCAGGGTATTATTTATTTTGTCATTACATGCCGATCTCTCTAGGTAGTATTATTTTCAGTTCTTTGGAAACAAGGTCAAAAAAAAGGTGAACTGTCAGTCCATTGGAACAAGCAGGATTTTTTGTACATTTAGACATTTGTTTTTAGACGGCCTAGGAAAAGGTGGGATTTAAAATGTTCTGACTGAATTTTACTACGTCAAGTTTCTGTTTCTAATTTGTTTCATTTTTTATTTTTGCAGCATATTTAGTGCAGGAGATTAATAAAGCAGACATTCCCCTTCCTGAAGGAGAGACCAGCCCTCCTGCGCCACCTCTGAAACAGGTCTTGGAAATGCAGGTAACTTATTCCGGAAGAAGCTCTTTCAGGCCCCTCATTTCAAGGATTGCTTAGTCACTCATTTTATATTGTTCAGTGCTTTTCTGCCTTCTGAAAAACCTGGAATGAAAATTAAAGAAAGTTATTATGGTTAACCGTTAGTAATAGGATATCTGTAATGAGTATTAACCGTAATTCAGTTTTCTTGTTTGGTGTAAGACATATTCTTTCTTTCCAGATGGTGTTTAATGGAGGCTAGTGAGAACTAGGTCATTAAATCTGGTTCATACTCATGTAATAAAGTTCATTCTAGAATTATCCATGCCTCGGCATGCCTCTCCTAGTCACATACTCTTCACACTCCTCCCGAGTTCACTCTGATCCTCTCCCCCTTGAATTTTTAGGAGTTAAAAGATGATAGGTTATTAGAAGTATATAGTGAACAGTGTTCCTTCACCCCAAGTTCAAGGTCTCCTTTCTCAGGGATACAGCTTCCTTCCCCCTTCGAGAACACTCGCTTGCCCTGTTTATTGGCGTTCAGCCGTGGATTACCCACTGACGGCCCAGTGTAATTGTTTTGCAATCATCACTCTGGGAAACAGACTGGCGTTCTTTATCTTTTTAAAAACAATTATTGCTGTGTAACAAGGCTGCTCTGTTTATCTGGTAGGAAGTTGTTTAACATTTGGAATGTGAGTGGACTTTAGAGGGAATCATAGAGTCAGATGAGTACAAAGCAGTCATCTGGTTTGGCCTGTTTGATGGCTTGGTTATGAGATAATTACAGATACAGTGATCACTGCTTATGGCTTTTGTAAGGCAGAGCACACGTAATGAGTGTGTTAGGTGACTGAGTATAAGTCTTCATTGACTCGATGATTTGTTCTACAAATTTCTACTTCTAGTGTTTTCATACTTATACATTATTAGGATGTTAGTATGTAAACAATTATTAAAGACGATCTGCTCTCAAGAATTATTTCCCCCGCTTCCCCAAGTAGCATATAACAAAAAAGCTAGGAGTTGGCTGTATCAGATGCAATATTATATTCTGGCCACTAAAATGAAACAATTCCTTTTTCTTTTTTTTTTTTTTTGACTCTTTATTTTAATTAATTATTTTATTGTGGTGAAAATACATACATCAAGACATTCACCAGTGACTTCCACATTTGCAGTTCAGTGACGTTGATTACATTTTTCATGAGTGCCACCAGTATTGCTGTGCTTTTCCAAAATATTCCACCACCATTAATGTAAACAATGTCTTGAGAATTTTTATGCCCAGTTGTGTAAATGAAAAATGCATAGAAATGCTTAAGCTAGAGCCTAGGAAAATAGAGTATGTGTAAACACAGAGGATCTGAGACTTTTCTGTGTTGTAAATAAACGGACATGCAGGCTTGAAAGAGAAGGTAACCAGACAAAGGAAAACCAGAAGAAATGGTAGGACTGGAGGCTGGAGATGAGGTGTAGTCTCGGGGCACTGCTCATCATCACAGCATCCTGAATGCTTTATACCATCCTAACAAAAACAAAAAAAAGTGGAGTCGATTCCCACTCAGCGACCGTGTGGGGCAGAGTAGAACTGCCCCATAGGGTTTCCAAGGAGCGGCTGGTGGATTCGAACTGCTGACCTTTTGGTTAGCAGCCTGAACTCTTAACCACTTAATCACCAGGTCTCCTTATACTATCATACGTGAATGAATTTCGTAGGAATTCCCCAAATTAATAGGAAGTAATAAATGATGGAAGGAGACCTGGTGGCCCAGTGGTTAAAGTGCTCGGCTGCTAACCAAGAGGTTGGTGGTTCAAACCCACCAGCTGCTCTGTGGGAGAGAGACATAGCGGTCTCCTTCTGGAAAGATTACAGCCTTGTAGCTTAACTGGTGAAGAATGTCTGCATTGAGCTTTGTGCTCTTTCAAGTTCTATCTATGGGATCAAAGTGACAACAGTGACTGGCAAGATTAGATAGAAACCTTCGGGGGCAGTGAGTTCAAGTTAATGGCAGAGGAACTACTCAGAAAAGGAGGGTGAGAATGGTTGCACAACTGGAAGGATATAATCAGTGTCACTGAATTGTACATGGAGAAGCTGCTGAATTGGTGTATGTTTTCCTATGTGTATCCTCATCAACAACAAAGTGAAAAAAAAAAGATTACAGCCTTGGAAACCCTGTGGGCCACTTCTACTCTGTCCTATAAGGTCGCTATAGTCAGAATCAACTTGACGGCACTAGGTTTTTATGGGAATAAATGATGAACCTTTAAAATCTTTGTATCCTTTCTTATCCTTATCAAACTAACATAAATCCTGACTTTTTAAAACCTGCACTGATTTGGTGTGCCATAAAAAGGTTCTTAAAATCAAACTTGAAACTAAACCATACTCTTGACTAACTTATATTTTGTTTTAGGAACAATTACAGAAACTTGAGGTTGAACTGAGAGAAGTGACAAAGAACAAAGAGAAACTCAGGAAAAACTTGCTGGAACTGATTGAGTACACTCACATGCTGAGAGTGACAAAAACCTTCGTAAAACGCAATGTCGAGGTACTGAACCACAGACAGGAGGACACGCTTTTTTTTTTTAAAAAAAAACTCGTTCCGCAAGGTTACAGGGCTTGTTGTCAATACATTTAGATGTGTTGCTTTTTTTAAGAGATAAATTTAGGTCTTAGCTTCATTTTTTCAGTTGAAATATATGACAGTTTTAAAAAAAAAAGACTTTAAGAACCATTTCTTGTGTTGGTTGGTTTTAGCAATAACAGTACTTTATATTTGTAAAATTCTTTGGTTTGCCATTGAAAAAAATCTTTTTATGATCATGAAAAAAATTGAACAGTAGAGGCTGAACTCTAAAAGTCAGTGTTTCGAAATCGCTAAGAGTTAAGAAGAATTTCAAAAACGGTGTAATGTATAAGAATGATGCATGGTATCGACAGTAGCACTGAACTGAGCTGAGTGTAGAAGGGAAGAGCACATCCCTTCGTAACTGAGTTTCACTTGATATTGTGATGGCCTCAGCAATGTATTCTATCTTGGGTTAAGGCGATGACTTAACTAGTAAACTCTTCTTTTATGTGAATGTCTTCAAGTGGCTTACAAACGAGGGTGGGGAAGCTAGTTTTCTACTATCAGAGCTGAGGTTCCTGCCTAAGTGATCGCAGGGCCTTGGCCCCCAGATCCAAGTAGTTAGTGACCATGCCCTGTAAGCTTGTATGGAAATGTGAGGAAGGCAGTGTCACTTTTAATGAGACCCACTTTCTTTTATACATTTCTTTGTAGTTTGAACCCACTTATGAAGAATTCCCTCCCTTAGAGAATGATTCTTTGCTGGACTACAGCTGTATGCAGAGGCTCGGAGCAAAACTGGGGTAGGTGACTGCGACGGGCATCAGGCTTCACATTGCTTGGCTTGTCAAAGGACAGTGGCTCCAGAGGGGTGACTGGGGACCATCTTAAGTCTGGGGTTGAATGAAAGCAAATGTTTATTTAAGGAAACACTGCACTCCTGTATTTGTTGAACTGAATTACTCAGCTGTGCTGACTTTTTATCTGAATATGATGGTCTAATGACCTGGAAAGAAGCAACTTTAGTACCGTTCAGTGTAAGCTCCTATAAGCCCGAAAATCTTTCATCATTGAGCATCAAGTCTTATTTTATTTGGTGGAAACACAGGAGCTAACCTGAGTTGGTTTAATTGTCTTTATTCCTCATACTGTATCTTTCTGCTGTTTGTTTCCGCTTACCTGGCCTAATGGGAGCTTGTTCCTCCTGTGGTTTGTGTTTTTCTTTTTCTTTTTTTAAATGAACTTAATGTTCCTCTGTTCTTTGTCTATAGAGATTCAGTGGTGTTTAGTTTCAGGATATATTTCTCAAGGGAGAATTAGTTTTTACATTTGTTGAGTACCTGGGAGTGCTCTACCAAGCTGGGATTATTTTATATTCATTTGTCAGCTTGGATTTTGGTTGGTTGTTTGTCTTTTGGCTCTGCAACTGGTGAATTTAAGCCACAAACCTGAGTGAATTCTAACCTGTGGTTATAAATTCTCAGGGAGACTTTTCCCCTTCATCCAGAACCAAAACTGAGATAAACAAGTTCATGTGTAGGCTCCTTAGCAAGGTGGATTTTTTTAGTCCACCCTTTCACAGAAGGTGTAGCCCTTTGTGTGTGTGGGGGTGGATGTCTCAACTCTAGGGAGGATTCAGTTCCATCTCCTCACCTGACATGGGCGAGTGCCGTGTCTCCTGTCTCCCTAAGGCCTTAGGGTACTGGCCCGTTCAACATATCAGGGCCGCAAGAAAGTTCTGTTTTATTTTTGGATCCCAAGAATTTCATTTTATTATACGCTCAGCTGTATACTTAAAAGGATGTTTCAAACGTATTTTACCCAATATTTTTAGGTGTTTTGTAGTTGGAGGGCTTTCGGGAAATCTTCTCTACCATATTGCCAGAAATGAAAGTCTTCACGATACTCATTGCCTTCAGTTGACTACAAGTTGTCTTTATGGTCTCCTAGATTTGTGTCTGGCCTTATTAACCAAGGAAAAGTTGAAGCATTTGAAAAAATGTTGTGGAGGGTCTGCAAAGGGTATACCATTGTGACCTACGCGGAGCTGGATGAGCCCCTTGAAGACCCTGAAACAGTGAGTAAATATTCTGGTCCCCCTTTAAACAATGACAGACCAACAGAAAACTTGGAGATACAGTACAAAGACCTTTTTTCTCAGGAGCAACTTGAGAGCACGTTGCTAACCTGATGCCCCATCATTCTTGAATGTGTGTGTGTCCAGTTCCTAAAAACAAGGACGTTCTCCTTCATTATCACAATACAGCCATCAAAATCAGGACGTTAATGCAGAAACGTCACTACCATCTGATCCTCAGATCCCATTCAGGCTTCGCCTGTTGCCCCAGTCTTGTCTCCTATAGCAAAGGATCCAGCTTATAACCACATGTTGGATTGTGTTGTCTCTCTGGTCTCCATCATTCTGGGACTGTTTTCTTAGCCCTTCCTTGCACTGGCTTTCTGGACCTTAACGCTTTTGAGTGTTACAGACCAGGTTCTTGGTAGAGTGTCCCTCAGTTTGGATTTGTCCAGTGCTTCCTCGTGACTAAATGCTGGTCATGCGTCTTTGGCAGGAATGTCCGGGAAGGGATGCTGTGTGCCTCTCACTGCATCCTGTCAGGTGATGCACGATGTCAGCTTGTCTGTAACTGGTGATGTTCACCTTGATTTCTTCATTAAGTTGGTGGCTCTCAGACTTCTCCCTTGTGAAGTTACTCTTTTTTCTTGTAATTAGTAAGAATTTGAGGGAGAAGTGCTTTGAAACTATGTCAATATCCCACTCCTCATCAGATTTCCAATTCATTCATTCATTTCCTATTTTATTCAGTGGGCTATACTCTGTTACTGTCCTCATTTATTTTGACACTTAAGTTTTCCCAGATATGGCCAGTTGGAGCCCATTCAGTCTGACTTTTTAAAACTTTCTACATGTTCCTATCATTTTTTTTTTTTTAGCACTTCCTTCTTTTTTTGCACAACCCAGCATTCCAGGTTCGTCTTGGAATTTCCCTCACACAGCTGTGAAATCAGCCATTTGTTCAAGGAGCTCTGGTTCTTTTAGCTGAGACTGGTATTTAGAAGCCAAGATGTGGTTGCTAGGTGTGCCTGTTGTTATCGTGGTGTTGCTGCTCCCAGGCTCTTTCCGTGGACAGCTCTGTGAGATATACACACAGACACGTGCACACACACAGGCCCACATGCACACTAATAAGTACACGCATACATTTACACCTTCATTTCTATATCTCTTGTGTATATTGAAAACTGTGACTTCACATCCAATTCCAATCCAACATCCTAGAATTCAGTCTAGGTTTCTCCCTTTCTGTGTTTGTAACTCCTTTCTTCAGCAGTGAGAAGCTTGGCTCCTATTATTCTTAATGTATTTGTGTCTTTGATGAATTCCTCTGGCTGTAGCCACTCTCCCACCAGTGTCCCATCTCTGCCGTCACCCTCCTCTGCTTGCTTGCACTCTGAGTTCTGGGCAGCCGCCTGCAGTGGATGTACTCCTCACCCCACGGGAGCTCTGATCTCAGCCCTGGACTCTCCTGTGTGGGCACCTCCTCACCCCACTGGGGCTCTGACCCCCACCCTGGCTCCCCTGTGTGGGTGCCTCCTCACCCACTCAGGCTCTGACCCTCTGCCCTGGGCCCCTGTTGCTCTCCCCACTCCTGCAATCCACCCTGCACACACACCTCACGGCTTTAGGAGTGCATTGTTCAGGAAGAGAAGCAGAGGAGCACAGGAGGGAGAGAGCCATAATCCCCTTTTGAAATGTCTGTATTTTTATAGTCACAGTACACATCAATGTATTGCTCTAAATGAGGATGAACTGATCTGTCAAAGGTAGAAAAGGAACTTAGGCTTCTTAATTGTGAGAAAAGGGTTCACATTTTATTTTTTCTAGGTTTGCCTCAGGAATTTTAGCTGCAGGATGAATGTAACCCTTAGTAGTTTAGACACCTACAGAGGAGGTTGGCTGTGAAATGATTTTCATAAAGTTCAGCCTGAGTAAACCACACTTGCTGGAATATCTGCTCGGTTAAGCTGTTCATTAACCACACTCCAGTAATGTTTTCTGCTTTTCTGTGGCTCTTGTACCTGCTAATGCAATCTGTCAATTCCCTTTCACTTGTGTCCACTATGGCTTCCCCATGTGAAGGCAAAGGTTACAACTAAGAGGAAACTGTTCTAAGTGGTATTTATTCCTTTCAGTTGTTCTCATGCAGAGTATTTACACGGGTTTAAAGCAAATTTTTTCCTAGAATTTCTAAGCTCTGTTGTACTGAATTTTTACAGGATATATTAAAGGGCATTAAACATTCATAAGGAAATACAAAAAAGTAGATATAGATGTATGTATTTTGAAAATACAACTTTTTTTCCTCATGATTGCAAAGGAAATTAAAAGAAAAAAAATACCCGTTGCCATTGAGTGGATTTTGACTCATAGTGACCCTATAGGACACGGTAGAATTGCCGCATAGGGTTTCCAAGGTTGTAAAAAAAAGTAAGAAGAGGAAGACCCTTGATGAGATGGATTGACACAGTGGCTGCAACAATGGGCTGAAACCTAACGATTGTGAGGATGGTACAGGACCAGGCAGTGTTTCATTCTGTTGTGAGGGTCACTGTGAGTCGGAACCTACTCCATGGCCTCTGACAACAACAACAGCAAATCTTTACGGAAGCAGATTGCCGCCACATCTTTCTCCCACAGAGTAGCTGGGGGGTTTCAACCACCGCCCTTTGGTTAATAGCTGAGCGCTTAACCACTGAGGCACCAGGGCTCTTTGCAGAGGAAGTACACGTGCATCATAGAATGCTGGGGGGAAACAGAGAAAACGTGAAGGAGAAGATGACTCACCTGTAGTCTCCCCACCTGGCGAACACCGTTACACTTCAGAGTGTCTTGTTTTAGTCCTTGCTCTGAATATGACAGGGATGGCTCCTTCAGTAATTTTTACCTGGGTTCTAGGACTTGTTTGTAGTGAGTGGCTGGTTTAGTGCCTTTTGGGCTGAACGTCTGACCACTCAATGTCATCACAGGCTCCAGAGCCTGTGGTGTCATTTTCAGATGTTGGCGTCTCTCTGCATAGAAACTTCCTGTTGTCTGTCGTTAGGTACTGTCGAGTCGATTTCAACTCAGAGCGACCCCGTGTGACAGAGCAGAACTGCCTCATAGGCTTTTCTAGGTAGTAATCTTTATGGGAGCAGATCACCAGGTCTTTTCTCCCACATAGTGGCTGGGTCGGTTTGAACCAGCAACCTTTTGGTTAGCATCCAAGTGCTTAACCATTGCACCACCAGGGCATAGAAACTAGACTCAGGCAATTCCACTTGGTCTTACGATTTGTATTTTTCATGTTGAATACCGTCTCTGCTCCATCTTATGCCTTTCTTGGTTGTATTCCTTGACACAGTATCATTTTGATAATTGTTAAGGAATCTTTGAGGTCAAGTTCATTGTAAATGCCTTTTCTTTTTTTCCCTGGATGTATCCCTGGAGCTACCCCTCACTGCCTTCATTCTTCAGGCTCAAATGGCACCCTTCCCAGAGAGGCCTCCCTCATCATATTCTTTACACCTGCAATGCCCCTCCCACCCCCTACTGCCCCTTCCAGGTTTATTTTCTGTGTAACACTTACCTGGCATATTATGTATTTTATTTGTTTCTATCTCTCACTGCTAACTTCACTGTAACATCCCCCTCCCCCAGGTCAGGTTTCTTTTTGGTTTTGTTCACTGCTGTCTTCCTGTTGAATGAATGAGTGAAACAACTCTTCAATAGTGTTTGAGCTGCCAGAGTTTTAGAAGTTATACCTTCAGAAATAACAATATCCTAATTTGTTCTTCGTAGGGAGAAGTCATAAAATGGTATGTGTTTTTAATATCCTTCTGGGGAGAGCAGATTGGCTACAAGGTTAAGAAGATATGTGATTGGTAAGAAAAGAAACGTTTCATGTCTTTTTTTTTTAATATTCAGTGATTTCTTACTGTTGTGTGCCGTCGAGTTGGTTTTGATTCATAGTGACCCTATAGGACAGGGTAGAACTGCCACACAGGGTCTCCTAGGCTGTAATCTTTATGGGAGCAGATTGCCAGGTCTTTTCTCCTGTGGAGCAGCTGGTGGGTTCAAACTACTGACCTTTTGGTTAGCAGCCAAGTGTTTAACCATTGGGCCAGCAGGGTTCCTCAGTAACCTAGTTTTCCTTACTTATCTCTCTGTATTTGAAGAGAAATATAGTAAGCTAAAAGACGGCTGTAATACCAAGTTCTTAAAAATCTGATTTGTCATCTCTTTTGACAGTGTATTATTTAAAATAATTCAGAAGTAGGGACCGTGTTGATTATGTTCCCAGATTTCATTTTTTTCCCCTTGGGAATCAAGACTTCAGGTCAGTTGAAGAGGGAATCATGTTTGATTATTTCGTGCCTTTCTGTTGCTTTTAGCTACGGCATGCTTACCTGTTGTCATTGGGCACCTGTTTCGTCTTTTGCCAAGCGGTTGGCCATTTCTCCTTCACACCATCTAGAAGGGGGGATGGCGTGTGGGAAGGGTGTGGGCCCTGAAGCGGGGTTGCAGGATCCAGACCCTGGTTTCCACTTGGACATGTCATGAAGCTTAATCCCCATCTATAAATGGAATATCGTTCCTTTCTCACAGGGTTGTACTAACTGAGGTGTTGCAAGTAAAAGGCTTTAGGACAGAGTAAGGCACGAATGAATGTTGAGTAGTAACACAGCAGGAATCTGCCTGTGACTTACTCTTGTCCACAAATGGAAAAATAAACAAAAATCCAACAAAAAACCCCAAGGCACACCCGTTATAGACTGCCTTGTGTTTGCGGGGTGAGGCGGGGCTTGGATGTCGCCTTTGGATAATGTTTACCACAGTTTGTTACTCCATCACTGGTGGTATGGAAAGCAATTTTAGGTGTGAAATAGAAAACTTTTGTCATTTTAGTAGATATAGATTTATTTTTATATAGATTAGAAGAATCATAACCAGCACAACAGATCCATGATTTCTCAGGTATCATTGTGAAGGGTAAAGCTGCAGTGGGTATTTGATTTTTAACAGCCAGAACTTAAAGAAACCCATGAAGTGTGGTGTATGAATATTAAGGTGGGGTGAGACTCACTGCTGTGTGGGAGGCCCAGCATTCGCCAGTGTGTCCTGGTGCCCTGTGCCCTGAGACAGCGCTGGCCACTGCAGAGACCTGTCAGAGGCAATTGCTGGGAACCCAGAGTTTTTTTAATCCCTTTCTTCACTGTCTATTTTTTTTAAGGTAATTATTCTTGTGTGGTTTCTATTTTAAACCCATTTAATGATTCCCAAAGAGCCCTGGTGGCATAACAGTTAAGCACTTGGCTGCTAACCGAAAGGTCAGTGGTTCGAACCCACCCAGCAGCTCTGGGGGAGAAAGACCTGGCGATCTGCTCCCATAAAGATTAAGCCTAGAAAACCCTATAGGAGCAGTTCTGCTCTGTCACATGGGGTCGCTGTGAGTCAGAATAGACTTGATGGCACCTAACAACAACAAATGATTCCCAAACTAAAGATGTTGGATAGTTTTATAAAGTTGGAATTGGGAGCTTCCAGGAATTGCTGAAGGCAGGAATGGAATGTGGGTCTAAGAAAGTTTGCTAAACGTGTTAAATCAGTAGATACTTACGGAGTGCCTTGTGCTGACCTTACCAAGGAACTGCACCCTTTCTGCCAGATGGCCGCTTGTATTCCATTTTGGAAGGAGCTCCGTGTAGGTGGTGAATTGAATTTGGTTCTAGTTTTAGAAATAGCCTCTTCGAGTCACCACAGACGTGAAACTGTGCTTAATTCTGTCTTCCAGTTACCACTGCCACATTTATCCCTATCCAAACACTGCTGAGGAGCGGAAAGAGATCCAGGAGGGACTGAATACCCGGATTCAAGATCTTTATACTGTGAGTAAACCAGAAGCTGTTATCTACTTATCCGAGGGTCATAAAACATGTAAGAATCCATTTATTTTGATTCTTTTTTAATATGGAAAATTTTGGTGGTAGTTTAATCAAGGCGTTTTTAGTGTGATTGGAATGTCACTTACCTCCCTCCTCTTCATGGTACTTTATTTTAGCGGCCTGTTAGAAGCTGAGGTAGTAGTGACGAGACTTTAGAAAAAGATTCTCTGATCATCTTTGATGTGTTGGGTTTTAATTCTTGATCACAAAAGACAAGCAAGCCCCATTTCAAATGATGGATATTACACACACTCCTCACTATCTCGTTATCCGACATTTCGCGTTTATGACAATAGTAAAAAATCTATTATCCAACTATTTTGCATATTAATGACATAAGTTTGTCAGTAATGAATGCCAGGGTGCGAGGCAAGAGTAATGCTGGCTATGATGTTTAAGGTTATGTGTCAACTTGGCTGGGCCATGATTCTCAGTGATTTGGCAGTTATGTAATAATGTAATTTGGCAATTATGTAAAGATGTAATTTGGCAGTTATGTAATGATGTAGCCATCCTCCATTTTGTGATGTGATGTGATCTTCCTCCATTTTTACACGATTTTCACATAACGACCTGGTCTTTGGAACCTAACCCCATGTCAGTAAGTGAGGAGTGGGTGTATTTTACATGCTCTATTTTAATTGACATTTCTGCTTATCTCAGTTAGGGTTCATGGTGGGAAGTAACAGAAACAGATTCTGACTCAGTTAAGCAAAAGGGAATTTACTGAAAGAACATGATGGGATGGGAGTTGGTGGCTCCCTGGGCTGTTGGGGGTTGGGGCCAAGCTTGGGAGTAGATGAGAAGCTGCAGAGCTCTCTGGAGCCAGGGGGCACAGCCACTATTTCACAGTGGGGAAAGCTAGGCTATCGTGCTGCCACAGTGACAGTGGCTTCTAGCCATTTCCTGTGTCCTCCCAGACGTGCTCTTAAGAGTTAGCCTCCCAGGGGACAGCATCTGATTGGGAAGGAGAGGGAACGGCTCCCTTGACGGCCACCCTGGCGACGGGCGTGGAATTATGGAGGACAGTTCCCTTAAAGGAAGTCAGGGTGCTGGGTGGACAAGCAATGAGAAGTGCCCACCATGCTGAGAACCAGTGTCTGTGCTTACCAAGGTGCTCCACAAAACTGAGGATTACCTAAGGCAGGTGCTCTGTAAAGCTGCCGAGTCGGTCTACAGCCGCGTCATCCAGGTGAGGAAGATGAAAGCCATCTACCACATGCTGAACATGTGCAGCTTTGACGTGACGAACAAGTGCCTCATCGCGGAAGTCTGGTGCCCTGAGGCAGACCTGCAGGAGCTGCGCCGAGCGCTCGAGGATGGCTCGGTAAGTTGGCCAGGCTCTCCCACCAGAGACAGTACAGGCAGGGCACCTCGGGGACACATATCAGAGAACATCTGTGTCACAGAGCCGTGGGCAGCTCTGTGCTGGCTTTTCTTTTGAACTGAAATTACGGAGCGCTAGTCATTTGAGGGAATCCCTGGGTGGCAGAAACAGTTAAGTGCTTGGCTGCTAACCCAAAGGTTGGAGGTTTGAATCCACCAGAGGCACCTTGGAAAAAAGTCTTGGCCATCTAATTCCGAAAAATCAGCTATTGAAAACCGTATGGAGAGCACAGTTCTTCTCAAACACTTGGGGTCGCCATGAGTTGGAGTCGACTCCATGCTAATTGTTTTGGTTTTTGTTTAGTCACTTGAAGATGCATGTGTGTCTCTGCATTTTTAATTTTCTTTTTTGGATAAGTAATGCATTTACATGGTTTAAATTAAGAAAAAAAAGTATACATAAATATAAAAAGCTACAGTGAAGTGGCTTCCCTCTCCCCCTGTACCTCGTCTGTCCGCTCACCCCACCGTCTGACAAAGGTAATCAGCATTATTCATTCTATTCTATCCTTTGAGTTTCCGAAGCGTAGATAAGCAGATACGATAGGTGTTTTTTCTTCCCTTTTCTTCATAGAAGGTTGCATGCCATTCATACTGTTCTGCATCTTGTTCTCTCACTTCATAAAACTTCCCTATTCTTTTTTTACAACTATTTAATATTTTGCTTGGATGTACCATGGTTTATGTAACTAGTTCCCTAATCATTTGGGTGGTTTCTCCTTTTATAAACACCATTGCAGCGAATAAGACTGTTCCTATGCAAATGTATCTGTAGGGTAAATCCCCAGGAATGGGACTGCTGGATCGGTTCTGGCAGATATTGCCTGTGATAGCATTTCTCTTCTCATGAGTGAAGTGAAGTACCTTCTTGGATGTTTAAGAGCCTTTTGAATTTTGTGTTTTTGTGAACTGTGTATATCCTTTGCCAATTTTATACTGGCTGTTGGTCTTCTTCTTACTAATTTCTGTCAACACTTTGTGACATGGGTAAAAATATTTTTCCCAGTTTGTCATTTTGTCATTTGTCTTTCGGCTTTACTCATGGCACTTCTGTTTGTTTGTTCTGGTCATGCTGGAGTGTTTTGTTACCTATAGTTGAATTTATCCATCTTTCCTGTTATGACTCTGGAGTTTCAATCAGTGGCTTTTCCCACTCCAAAATTATGAAGTAGTTCTTCCATGTTCTCATGAGGTGTTTTCCAACAATTCGAGCATTTTCCAATGTTGGTGAAAGCCAAAAAAACACTCCTAATCATTGTGTATTGCAAGAACATCTTGAATCTTTGCTCTTCACAGTTGCTTTGGTGAGTTGGCTTAAGTCCAGAGGATGCCTTTTTGCTGTCAGTCAGATTGGATTTGATTCTGGCACACAGTAGTATAGGCATGCAGACTCATAGTGGGGAGCGTCATGTTTAAATTGGGAAACTACTTAGCTTCCAGCTTGCAAATCACCAAGTCTTATGTTGGTGTCTCTCTTGTCATTTTGATGGTCTGAAGCTTGTTCTGTTTTAGATTCCTTTGGGGGACTCATGGGAACAGTATTCCCTGAACTCTTGCATGTTGATAACAGTGTCTGTCTGCTGCCTTTACAATTGGAAGTTTTCCTGGAAATAAAATCTTTGGTTCTGTTTCTTTTCTCCCTTGAGTAGGTTAAACATGTTACTCTTTTCTTTTGGTATAAAGTGTTGCTGAGGAAAAGCCTGATGTTAATAAAGTTTTCTTTTCCTTATATGTCATGTCCTTTTCTTTTTTTGCCCAGATGTTCAGAGGATTTTTTCTTTTTCTTTAAAGTCTAGTAGTTTTTCTAGCTTTTGCTTTCATGTAGACATTCTGGGTTGGTATTTTCAGTGTGCTCTTCTAATATCTATTTTCTATTTTTTCCCCAGAAACATTTCCTTGAGCTGTAAGCTTTAGTATTTGTTCTATTCCCTTGCTTTGATTTTCTTCTTCAGGGCCTCCTGTTATCTTCAAGTTGGATCTTCTTTGCTTATCTTCAATATTTGTCTCTCTTTCTTGATTCCTTTTTGTCTTTCTTTACTTCCTTTTGATTTGTAAAATTTCCTCTCTTTTCTTCTTCTATTTCTCTTAAGATACTATTGAGAAGGTTTCTTTACTTTTAAGTTCCTTCTAGTTTAGTCTTCATTTCTGAAATAATGTTTTTCTTTTGTTTCTAAGTCCTTCTTGAGTTCTATGACCTCACTCCTGAGTTTTTCTCATTCTGATTCATGCTGCTTTTTGATATCTTGTACTATTTTCATAATTCTTTTAGCTTATTTTGAAAAAGTAATTTAGAATTTTCATCTGTTTTGTGTCCATGTCTTTCTAGCATCCTCTCATTGTTTATAGAAATGTTATTCTGCCTCTTAGTCTCTTTTTTGTTAGTATAACTTTATAAGATTTGACCTCTATCCTTCTCTGTTGCTCATTTTTAAATGAAATTATTGAAATTATTCTAGAGCATGTTTAAGATACTCAAGGAAATTGTATATTATATATAATGCAATATGTCAATTTTATGAGGCAATTGTGTATTATAACATATTATGTAATGTAATATATTACTGTGTTACATATTTATATGAAATTAGTTTTCTGGAGTATGTTTAAGATGTCCAGGAACTTTTAGAAGGAAGCACGTACAGGAGAACTTTCCTAACTTCCTTGGTCTCTGAGATTTCCTAGATCTGGTTCCCTCTCCCTCTTTTATCTGGATCTTCTCTTTCCTTTTTCTCTTTTGTTCCTGTCCTGCTGACCTCACTTACCATAGACCCCTTGCAAGTTACCCACCCTTGGGTTGAGCAAAACCCCTTCTAGTTCAGCGGCTTTTCCCACATTGTCCTGCCACACTTGCCAGGGAAGACCTGTGAGCTTTTCTGGTGTGTTCTCGTCTCAGGTCTGTCACGTGCCACCTTGCTTCCATCGCTTCCTCTGGTCTAGATGCTGATATCATGCACGTCTTGTAGCTAGCAGTGGTCTGTTCCCACCCATTTTTATTTTGGAGTTTATGGGAACATGATTTTGTAGTAAATTTGTCCGTGGGTTTTGGGTTTTGCTATCTAGCTGCTCTGTCTGCCCTTCAGGGGATATAGCCTGTTGCTGCTGAGTTGATTCTGACTCATAGCAACTCTATGGGACAGAGTAGAACTGCCCCATAGAGTTTCCAAGGCTGTAATCTTTACAGAAGCAGACTGCCCTATCTTTCTCCCGTAGATCAACTGGTAGGTTTTAACTGCTGACCTTTAGGCTAGCAGCCGAGTGCTTAACCACTGCCCTACCAGGGGTCGTTGAGAGGATCTAGGGAGATTCAAAACTATGCCACCACTGGGGCTTTCCAGAATCCTCCTGCATGTGTGTGTTTTAAGAAATAATATTTGACTGGAAAATCTACCTTTCTGGTAATAACCTGTTTTATTATTTAAAGAGATTTTTTTAAATTTTCATTTAATATTTAGAGGAACTGGAAACACTGAAGGAAAAAGTTGTATATATGCTTTAGTTACATTAGTACAATTAATGTTGACACATAGCAGGTGACCAATATTTGTTGAGAGTTCTTAGATGGTAATTTTTTTCCTTTTCCTTTTTTTCTTTTTTTTTATGTGAAAGAGAGAGAGCGGTGCAACAATCCCCTCATTTATGAACACAATCCCAACAAAGGAAACACCCCCAACTCTAATCCGCACCAACAAATTCACGGAGGGATTTCAGAACATTGTGGATGCCTATGGAGTTGGGAGCTACAGAGAAGTGAATCCAGGTAGAGAGTCTGTATTTTCAAGTCTTCTATTTTATACTTCATCTCTGCTTTTTTTAGATATGAGAGTGTAATACGTGTTTGGGAAAGCAGGCTCGCTCCTGCTGTTTTTGTTATCTTACTTAGTTTAAAGTTCTTAATTTAACCTCATAATTTTATCTCAAGATAAAAAGTGGAGGAATTGTGGAGACAGTCAAGATCATTTTATACTGTTGTGTGTGGATTAACTAGGATTTTCTGCATTTGCTGTGAATCAGAACTCTCTGACCATTTCTTCTCCTGGCAGCTCTCTTCACCATCATCACTTTCCCCTTTTTATTTGCTGTGATGTTTGGAGACTTCGGACATGGCTTTGTGATGTTCTTATTTGCCCTCTTGTTGGTGTTAAATGAAAATCATCCAAGACTAAATCAATCACAGGAGGTAAAAATATCAATACTCGAGCTCATTCTCTTTGGTTGGGTGGCATTAGTAGTGATTGTCTTCTGTTTGACCAGAAAGGAGACAGTCCTTCAATGGTAAGTTTGGTGATGATTGTCATTGACCTGGCTGAGATGTACAAGACGCGCGACCTGTCATCTCAGTGTGATGGGGACTTCTGCTACGACCTAACATTTTTTGAGGAGAATTCCTGAGGGGATAGTTAAGAACATGCCAGTTTGATCAAAGATTCTACCGAAGAATCCTGATCAAAAGGGGGAAAAACGCGGAACAGAATTTTAAATTGTTATAGAATCCAGACTTTCTGGAGCCATTGAGGCTGATTTGAACCCCCAAAACTATTGCCCTGAGATAATCTTTAAACTTTAAACCAAAAATATCCCCTGAAATCTTCTTTAAACCAAACAGTAGTTTAACTTAACTAGTAAAGAATGTCTGCCTTGAGCATTGTGCTCTCTTAAGAGCGATCTATATGGGATTGGATTGACGACGGCAACTTGAAAGGTTAGATAGGAGGCTTAGTCTATGTTAGGGGAGGAACAACTCAGAAAAGGAGGGTGAGAATGGTTGCACAACTTGAAGAATGTAATCAGTGTCACTGATTACAATTCAACATAGAAATTGTTGAATTGGTGTATGTTGTGCTGTGTGTATTCTCAGCAGCAACAACAAAACATGCCAGAACAAATTTCTAGCACACGAATACTTTTTTCCAGTGATTATATTTGATGCTCATGCTTTGCTCCTTGCAGATCATGAGAATGTTCTTTGATGGCCGATACATCCTTTTGCTGATGGGGTTGTTCTCAGTGTACACAGGCCTCATCTACAACGACTGCTTTTCAAAGTCCGTGAACATTTTTGGCTCCGGGTGGAATGTGTCCGCCATGTACAGCTCAAGTCATGCCACCAAGGAGCATAAGAAAATGGTTCTTTGGAAGTAAGTCTTCTGTGACTGAATGACGTCTTCAGAGGCTGCTCCCCCTGTTCGTACAAGCCTTCTCACTGTGCCTTTTGTTACAGTGACAGTGTCGTCAGGCACAACAAGGTTCTGCAGCTGGATCCAAGTGTCCCTGGAGTGTTCCAGGGCCCTTACCCTTTTGGTATTGATCCGGTGAGTGCGCTCTCCCCCCCCCATTGTCTCCCGTTTGTCTGCGGTGCCGCCTAGTTTTAATGGTCACAGTGGCTTCTCAGTCGAGGAGCACTGTTCATGTGTTCACACTAGAGGGGGAAGGTGCTGGGGTGGTTACTTCTCGGATGTGCCAAAAGGAGTAGGCTTATGGCTGAGGCTGGGAGTCGGTGGCTTCTCCACCGAGGAAGCCAAGGCCAGTGCCTGAACGTGAGAATCCCGAGCGTCTGTCCACGAGGGAGACGTGAGAATGTCTGTCCCATCCTCTGGCCTGTTTTACTCTTGTGAAGATGGCACCTCAGGAGCCATTCAACGTGTGCTATTTCTTAAATTTCTTCTTTGTATATGTGGATTATGTTCTCCCCTTTGCCCTAGAAAGACATGGTGTGGAAGTTTAGAGCTGAAGGGGAGCTTAAGGCTACCCTGGCACATGTTAAGGTCATTGTTTGAAACAGGAAAGTGTGTGCAGAAGGAGAGTAAAGGAGCTCCAGGTGCCTGGGCTCCTCGCCCACCTACCACAGGCCCAGTGGACCAGTAGTCAAGATGGCACTGAGCATGGGATCACGGGGCGCGTCAGAGTCTCAACAGACCATCAGGGGTCCCCTGAGGGATCTTCAGTTTCCAAGGGGGATCTGAGAAACAGTCTCAAAATTGGTTTGGAAAGATGTGGATGTGATTGGGTAGTGAGTATGAAAAAACAAAAAACTGAACGAAACATCCTGTCTTGTAATTGTTCTGTTCATTCTCATCTCTGAACACAATTTGTGTACTTTAGTGTTGTAGCTTTAAGTCTTGATAGAATCAGAAACTTGAAAAACTGTTACAACAATTTCTTTAAGATGCAGCATTTTGGGCCACATTTACCAATATCCGTTGGCCTTGCATTAAGGAAAGATGTGTTTCTAGAATAAAGACACCAGGTACCCGAGAAAAAAATCAAGTAGACTTTTATTTTTTGTGGAAGGGGAGTGTGTTTTGTTTTCTTTTTGCTTTAATTTTTTTGAGTAGGCATACATTCATACAATTCACCTCTCTCTCTGTCTCTTTCCTGTGCTTTTCTTTTCAGTATTCCTCCCTCTGCAGGAATCATTGAGCAATGTATTGTTTCATTTTGCCAGTCTTTGAACTTTATCTTGATGGAATTTTTTTTAACAGCGCATGGCTTTGGTTTAAGAGATGCTTCTCAGATCGAAGACTTGAAGAAAAAAGTCTGCATGTTGTTTTTGTTTTAACTCTAGAGCTGCCGTTTAATTTGGGACAGTCACTTTCTTGAGTGTCGTCTGTTTATCTTACGACAGTTTAACAAAGCTAAAAGATTTCCGGTTTTGTTTTGTCTTTAGATTTGGAACTTGGCCACAAATCGTCTCACTTTTCTAAACTCTTTCAAGATGAAAATGTCTGTGATTTTAGGAATTATTCACATGACTTTTGGAGTCACCCTGGGAATATTTAACCACTTGTAAGTATGGATTTTGCTTCTTTTTTTTTTTTTTTTAGCAATATTTATAAACCAAGTTTTGTATTTCTTAAACTTTGTTTCTTGACAGTACACCTTAATTATGGTCAGGGCAGCCAGTGTGGGGGTGTATTGTATTATATGATTGTTTTGTTTATGTAGTTTTTTTGTGGCTTCAGTGCTTCATTCACTAAGCAAGTATTTATTGAGCACCTACTATGTGCCAGGCACTGGGGATTCAGCAGCGGGAAGGACAGAAAACATGTTTTACCTTCCTGGAGGTTACAGTCCAGGCAGGGAGACATGCAGCTTGTAAATTCATATTTATTTTCAGAAGGGATTTTTGTCCTATTATTTTCTTATTTCAGAAATTAGAAAACTTTCTGTTTACTTATTGCTGCCGCTGTATGCTATTGAGTTGATTCTGGCTCATAGGCACCCTATAGGACAGAGTAGAACTGCCCCGTAGGGTTTCCTAGGCTGTAATCTTTACAGAGCAGACTGCGACATCTTTCTCCTGCAGAGTGACCGGTGGGTTCAAACCACTGACCTTTTAGGTAGCAGCCTAGTGCTTAACTGTTATGCCACCAGGGCTCCTTGACTAGATGTGGTAATGAAATGCTAGTCCTTTGTGCTGTCCTCATGTCTGCTATCTTCTTGTCCATCTCTGAAACACTAGTATGAGTCATCACAAGACAAATGATCCTGTATTGCAGTCGGCTTTGTTTTTTCCATCACAGTGAACTTCTGATTAGTTTGCTCTTTTCTCTTCTCGTCATCCAGTCCTGCTTGTGGGTTGATGGGTTATTCTTTTCCCTAGGCATTTCAGGAAGAAGTTCAATATTTATCTGGTTTCCATCCCAGAACTTCTCTTCATGCTCTGCATCTTTGGATACCTTATATTCATGATCGTCTACAAGTGGCTGGTTTATTCCGCAGAGACCTCCAGAGTTGCTCCTAGCATTCTGATTGAATTTATCAACATGTTTCTATTCCCAGCTAGTGAAACAATTGGTCTCTATCCAGGGCAGGTGAGTAATCCTCTTTTCCACTCTCATGAACTTAAAATAACTTCTCCTGTGGCCTTTTGGTTTTGGTTAGTAGATCAAAGCGTAGATGAGTAGACCAGTTGATCGAGTAAGTGCTTCGGGTGCTTTCTGCAGACCTGCCAGGAGCCTGTGTGCTTTCTGTCCCTGTGTCTGTCCTCAGCAAGGATGCTGGTCCTGCTGAGAGCTCTGCTCAATGTTACCCAAACTCGCTGCCCCCGAAGAGCCGTCAGAACTGGTGGAGGAAGATGTATTGGTGGAGGCTCTTGAGGACTTCCCAGTCCTACATTTCTCTAGTTATTTAAAGTCCGTCTCTGACTGAGCCAGGTCACCACAGAACTAGCCCCTGAACCACAGCACGTGGGCCCGCTGGGAGAATGGTTTTTCTCTAGTTGTCCGTTTGGGTGATGCCCCCTGCACCTGCAGCATGGCACGCTGGCTTAAAGTGTGGGCCCTGAGGGCTGACAGCTCTGCTTGGAGTCCCAGATCTAATGGTTTACAAAACTTCTCTGTGCCTCAGTTTCCTCATCTGTAAAATGGGTATAACAAAAGGATGTAATTCATAGTGTTGAATTCATATGTCCAAAGTGCTTGGGCACCTAGCAAGAAAAAAACAACAACAAAACCCGTTGCTGTTGAGTGCCGGAAATGTTTGCTTTGCCAGGGATTGCCTTCTGCTGAGGGTGGTTGTGCTGGTGACGTGCGTGGCTCCGCCGGCCTGGGGGCCATGGCGAGCACAGGCTTCATCCTGTCGCGCGGTCTGTGAGCGCAGTGGGAGAAGTCCGCCCGGGGGTCGCATCAGCAGTTGTGTTCCTCCTGAGCCGCAGCTGCTGCTTTCTTGTCCCCCCGCCTGTGGAGTGTTTGTGTTTTTTTCACATTGCGTTGACTACTAGCATGTTCTAAGTCAGATCTGAAGCTCACCGTATACCACTGGGGCCTTCGTGTCTTAGCTGCCTGGTTGTGTTCCTTTGGGTTTTTGCTTTTATGTTTACTCATCTTGTTCCTAAGTTTTAATCCTTGTACTTTTTCATTATTTTCCTGCAGCTTTGTAGAATGACATAGGGTAGAGGTACGAACGTCAGGGAGGTCAGGGAACACAGGTGCTGTGGCCAGGAAGATTGATACAGGGAGCTGCCGTCGCTCAGCACCTGCTGTGTCCTGGAAAGCACGCTCCCCGTGAATGTCCTTTCCTGCTTCTTTCGGCAGCCCCTCAAGGTGGCTGGTGTCATCCCCGTCTCACTGGTGAGAACCTGAGGCTCAGGGCAGGCCTGGCCCAGCTTCCGGTCGGCCTGGACCCTTGCCCAGTCTGCCTGACTCCACAGCCCCGGACTTCGGAGGGGGTTCTGCCTGTGGCCCCCACTTCGCCAGGACTTCAAGGGGACCATGTTGAGGGTGCAGTGAAGAGACGTTACTACATAGACAGTGCCCCACTGCCTGAGTGTCACACTGCTCTGGGGACGGCCAGGGGCGTGTTGAGCAGGGCAGGGTTTTCACGTCCCTCTCTGACCCTTTACAACCCCATTGCGGTGGCTGTGTAATGTACGTAATGGTATGGAACGTATGCTGTGTATGTCATGTATGCAGTGTATGTAACGTATGCATGTCACGTGTGCAGTGCACGTAACGTACATAAATCGCAGTGGCTGTGTAACCAGGAATATGTTTTGCTCTTGAATTAGTTTTTAAGTAACTGCAAATCCTTTTTTTTTAAAAAAGGTTTTGGTTGTGTTCTGAATGGTATTTCAGTATTTTTCATGTGTAGAACTAAAATCTACTTACTTCATGCTCACATGCCTCAGATAGTCTTTATAGTAAAAACCAAAACCAAGAATATAAAAAAAAGAATGGTTTATGGTTGTATTTTCCCATTTACAGCGTCTTCAGAAAATTATTAGTTGGACATTTGATTCTATTTAGAATTTCCCTAAAATTCCTTACTGGTCTAAACAAGGTAATATTGCACCACTGTATCATGAATGTTACTCATTAATTCTAGAATTCTGTTATCAGTTTAGGGAACAAAAGAGAAAAATCACCTGACAAATCTGATTTGGCTAACATGTATTTTACGTTCCTTGCTAGTGAAGAAGGAGGCACTTAGTTTTCTTTCCACTCATGGAATCCAGTGCTGACGGTGCTGTGAGCCGTGCCTGCGCTTCTAACCGGTGTTCCCTGCCCCAACAGGAGCACGTGCAGAGACTGCTGCTGGCCGTCACGGCGCTGTCTGTCCCCGTCCTCTTCCTGGGCAGACCTCTCTTCCTGCTCTGGCTGCACAACGGGCGCAGCTGCTTTGGAGTCAGCAGGGTACGTGCGAGTCTGCGCGCTTCTCTGCAAACCGGCACAAAGGCTGTTTGTCATTATAAAGGGATCGGTACAGAGACCCCTGTCAGAAGGTCCTGCTCTCTTGATTTAAAAGACCAGGCTTCCTTTACTTAGAACTGGGATGTTGCCTTTTGTGCAGAAGCCCACTTACTGCGAGGAGCCCACTGTGCTCTGGGCACGCGGGAACAGTCCTGCTGTGACCGACAACACGCCGAATGGAAGTTTTAGCTAAATTCTTAGAGACAGGTTGTCATAATTAAAAACTCTTCTTTCCTTATTCTTGCCTCTTACTTTTTTTCTTTAAAGTGCTTTTTTTAAAAAAGAAAAAAGCATTAAATAATTAAATTATAGAAAATACGGAAAACACAGCAAAAACTGTCACGTTCCGCCCCCAGTCGCAACCACTGTCCCCATTTTGTTGAATTTCTTTACAGACTCTTCTCTTGTGTGTGTAATTCTTCGTTTCCTCCAAAAGAACTTTTTTATTCCCCAAAAGCCAATCCGTGAAGGCCACTGAAGGGACTACAGGTTAAGTTTTGTCACCATGTTGTGATGTAAAGGCACTGACTGTGTCCTCTTGTGTGTGCTGTTAGAGTGGTTATACACTTGTGAGGAAAGACAGCGAGGAAGAGGTGTCTTTGCTGGGAAGCCAAGATATAGAAGAGGGACATAACCAAATGGAAGACGGGTGTCGAGAAGTGACCAACGAGGAGGTAACCTTTTTAGTTATTGCTGATAAACTTAGAGAAGCCCACCAAGCTTGCATAGAGATAATCATCATTTAAGAATAATAATTCATAATCTAAGATGAAAAAAAACCTGTTACTCAGAACTTTCCAAATGCTGTTTTGGTAATAAAATTGGTGTCATAAATATTATTATGAGAGTTTTGGGTTCATATCTTCTTGTTTCACTTTTACAATGGTGTTAACATAACAAGTTACGGTATTAAGTGACGTAAGGTGCCATGAACATTGCTTTTGAAAGATTCCTGTATAAGTCAGCTTTTTTGTAGTTGGAAGGTGTTGAGACCCAATTCACACTAGCTTCAAAAGGAAATTTACTGGCTCATGTTCGGATGGAAGTAGAGTTGGTCTAGTTCCTGGGTCTCTAATTCCAAGAGGCCTTCTGAATGCAAGCTTGCTTTGTGTTCTTAAACCAGTGTCCGCAGGATGTTGGAACCATGGCCACAGCAATGTCTGGGCTTGCTGGTTTCAGTCTTTCAACCAGAGAGGGAGGCGCTCTTGTCTGCTGGTGATTGTTAGGAAAATTCCCGAGGAAGTGCCATGATTGGCCTGCCGAAGGTCACATGCCATCCTGGACCAGTGGCCGTGGCTGCGGAGGAAGTGGTTCCCCTAAGAAGGGAGGCGCTGTTCTGGGCAGACAGAGCATGTCCACTACTCTGGCCTGTTGTATTTTCTTGGAAACTTTATTTGGCCACTTAACAAGGACCGAACAAAATTTCTTACAATCAGCATCTTGTAATTATTATGTAATCTGGTATTTTAATTTGGAACCATTACTAATAATTCCATAGAGTTGTAGAAAAACCAAAAGCAGAGCTGGGAAGAATGTTGGTGTCATGCTGCCCAGTGACGAGCAGCCTCTTCACTGTCAGGAACCCCTTTTGTACTTCTCCCCGTGGGCCTTGTATTTACAGTGCTTGTGTCTGTTAAACATGTGCATTTATTAGTATTCCTCTAATCGGTGGTCGGTAAATGCTTATTTGTATGTTAGACTCTGTGTTACCAGGAACCTCAATGCAGTGCCTGAGGGTTGTGGGAGTTGTGGCCATCACAGTTCTAGTCCAGACCCCTCAGGTTACACGTGAGAAGCTGAGGTTTGCGTTGGAAGGAGGGGCAGTGGAGCTGGGCTGGTGAGCGGCAGAGCTGTGGGCAGAACCCAAGGCTTGTGATGCACTGTTCCTCACACGCCATGTGTTCTCACCGGTATCCCAGAAGCCAGTTTGTCATTTTAATCCTGAGAGTGGAATGAATCTTTAAATGGTGGAGTAGGCGTTTAATATAAGGAATCTAATACATGTTGTGTAATCTCTCTCAGTTTAATTTTGGAGAAATATTAATGACCCAAGTGATTCATTCCATTGAATACTGTCTTGGCTGCATCTCCAACACTGCTTCGTACCTGAGGCTCTGGGCACTCAGCTTGGCTCATGCACGTAAGTGTTGGCTTTCACCCGCCATTCCCAAACTGGGCACTGAGGCACCCCTGTTTGAGAGAAACACAGCACCATCCTCTAGATACCGTCTGAACTAGTATTACTAAGTTGCTTGAACTTAACTACTGAATAAACAGATTTTTTGGTATTTCTTTTGGCCTAGGGTGCTGGGAAAAAATTACCGAGGCATTAGGGCTTCGAGAACTAACAAGGCTTGGGAACCTCTGGCAGGACACTTGAGTTCTCTCTGCTGTTATCATTACTGTTTTTGTTATTACTGTTATTTTATTCAATCCTGGTATGACTATTTATTGAACTTTAAATATCCTGAAATACCTCCAAGAGTTCTGTCAGCATCGTATCCCCTGGAACATCTTAAATCCTCTTTGTCACAACCACTTCCCTCATGTATGTGGAAGGGTCCACCTTATGAATATTTATTTATGTCAGCCAAGTCCTGAAACAATGCTGATTAATAGTCTGATTACATACAGTCCTCCCTTTGCACAGTTCCAATAGGCACCAATTTCAGTTTAACGATTTAGTTAAACCTAGCACCAGTCCCCAACAACGGGGTTCAGATTTCAGTTAGCTCGGTTTATTAACCGTAAGTGCGTGAAGTACAGACTCCACTGCTGGCTCTTCAGTCCACAGATTGCTCCGAGAATAACACGTGCACTTTGTGATCAGTGACCAGTCATGCCTCTCCTCCCAAAGCCTGTTGGTGACCAGTCACTGCACCTCAGCTCGTGCACAGACGGCAAAGTGTGTAGTATGATGCCTCCTTGTAAAAACCCCTGTGGCATTTTACAAACATTGATAATCAAAAGGGGCAAGTGGCCAACAAAGATGAAAGTGCATCAGAGAAATAACAAGGAATGATGCTGGAAGTGAAGTTGGAATAGAGCATGATGGAGTTCTAGAAGAAATAGGCAGCCGTGGGCGTGTTGACACTGCTGTCATTCTAGAGACACTAGACGTGCAGCCAGAGGACCTTAGTGAAGGTGCATTTGCCGGCATGCGTGAGGGAAGTGGTTGTGACAAAGAGGATGAAGAAGTTCCGGGGGAATGATGCCGGCAGAACGCTGGGAGAGTTTTGAGGATATTCAGAGTGCATCAGATACGATGTTGGAAACACATCTGATCTGGTCTTAGAGAAGAGTATGACAGTGTGCCAGAGGCCTACAAAAGACGCTTGCTCTCGTGAGTTCCATGAGAAGAAGGCAAACACTGTTCAGACAACCCTTGATAATTTTTTTTTTTTTTAAATAAAGAAATAAAGCACTTTACTACTCAATGATAACGTTATAAAAGTAGATTTACTGTGTTTTCATATCCCTATACATTTATAGCCTTGGTGGGGCAATCATTAAAGCACTCGACTGCTAACCAAAAGGTCGGCGGTTCGAAGCCACCAGCGACTCTGGAAAAAAGATGTGGCAGTCTGCTTCTGCAAAGATTTTACAGCCTTGGAAACCCTAGGGGGTCTCTATGAGTCAGAATCGACTTGACAGCACTAGGTTTAATTAGACATTTATAACTGATAGTAGGAGAGTTTTTAATGTTTAGACACCATTTTTAAAGGTCACAGAACATCCGTCATTTTTCCCCTTAGTTATTGAGACCGTGTTGCACACTTTTGGCTTGCACGGCCTCTCACATCTCTGCACGTCGTGCAAAGCAGGGACTGCCGGCACTACACAGGTTGTTAAGAAGGCATTGTCACACTGATGTTTTCGTAAGTGTGGTGAAAGGTCAGATTTTAGGTTGGAAGGGATCATGCAATCCATCCGTCTTCATTTTAGGGATGAGATAGAAGTCCATTGAGTGTTAGTGCTTCACCCAACGTCTCCCAGTTGCCGAGTTAGTGGCAGAGCCAGGACTCGAAGCCAGGCTTCCCCCTCCTCGTTCAGTGCTAACCTGACACCAGTTTTGGTCAGGATCTCTCGTTGGGAAGCGGGTTTCTGATTTTTCTGGAATGCCCGGTTTTCCTCTGTTTTAGGGATGGGGGAGGATTTGGTGGACTTTTACACAAGAAGCAGATCACACATATTTTGTTTGGTGTATATTATTTGATGGGATAAGAATGGAGAATTGTCAGAGGGACGCTGATTGGGGTGACTTGTTGAGCGTAAGCCGAGGCTCACTTTGCAACGAACTCTCCCCACCAGAGCTGTCGGATGTGCTGTGGGCCATGCTGATGCGTGTAGGCCTCCGTGTGGACACCACCTACGGCGTCCTGCTGCTGCTCCCTGTCATCGCTTTCTTCGTCATCTTAACCGTCTTCATCCTTTTGATCATGGAAGGGCTTTCTGCTTTTCTTCACGCCATACGCCTCCATTGGTGAGTTTGAAACGTTGTTTTGGGACTGAGAATTTACAAAATAGAATCCCCACAAAAATTGAATGCTCAGTTTAGATGAGTTTTTCCATTTTGTAACATTGGGGTATATATTCAGATCTTCTGAGTTAAAATTGTATTTTGTTACTGAACTGTTGTCACTGACATAAAAGCAAGTTTATGCTTGCAGAATAATTACGTATGTTTCATACTTTTGATTATAGTTTGGGCCTGGACAAATTGCTTTATCTTACTATAAGGTACTTCTGAGGTATTTCTTAATGTTTTACAGCATATATGAAATTACAGGTTTGTGTATTGAGTTTGGCATGTGCAGAGAGGGGCTCTTGTTATTCGTGTGTATTCCGCTCGTACGTCTGCTAGTATGGGAGGTGGCATGACATGCCAGTGTTTCTGTTACACATTAAGGAAGCCAAAGTGGGTCGGAGTTTATCTAATAAGTAAAAATAGTTATGTCAAGAGCATGTATAGAATGAAGCAATTTCAGTATAGGAACTGCTTGATTTTTAACTTACACTTGTTTCAAGAAATGTAGGAAATATTGTTTTGGACTCTTCCACTGATACATAATTTTTTCTTTTTTTTCCTTTTTTTAGGGTAGAATTTCAGAACAAATTCTACACTGGTGCAGGCACCAAATTTGTTCCCTTCTCGTTTAGTCTACTTCCGTCAAAGTTCCATAACAACGACCTGGCATGATTGTACTGCTGTAACCAACAAACTTTCAGATTTATGGAGAATTATCATGTTATAGAATTCCACTTCTGTCAAATTTATGATAGGAAAATGTCCCTCCTCATCTGTTGCCTTATGATATAGCCAAATAATTCTGTAATATATACCTCTTCTTCACATGTTAAATATTTTGTAAAGTTTACCAATTTCAGATCTATAAATTTCTTTCGGTTGTTTTTATGATGAGCACGTATAAGTTAATGCCAACTGTTATGTTAAAGTTATTTTTAAAAGTACAGGACTGGGGAAGGGAACCCAGTGTTGAATGGTGAGTTCAAAATGGCCTTAGGTACTTGAATCCTCTCACCTCCTCCAAACCCAAGAGTTACTCTGGCACTGAAGTTGGCAGGTCATATTTGCCACTTGCTGAAGCTAAACATAATATTTCTTTTAAAAAATCAATGATGGATGATCAAAAGATTTACATTTATTCTGTTTAGTTAAAAATGTGCAAACATTTTTTAACATATGCTACCTAGAATTGCAAATAGAGGATTGTTTTTACAATTTTGTCTGTTTTAATAATGGGAAAATGGGATAAAATAACATACAACAAATGGTTATGCCACTTATATATTTTTTTAAAGATTCTTATCCTGTTATCCTTACGGAATACCAATTATGGCAATTGTATGTTTTAATAGATAAACTGTATACTGAGCCTTAAAACCCAGTAAGACTGTAGAAGATACAATAGGGATATGATTTGAACTTAGTGACCAACTTGGCTGATGTTGCTCAACCAAAAGGGTTTATTCTGAGTGAAGGAAAAGGAGAAAGTAGTATTTTGTATATTTTATAAAAAAAATATAAATTAAGATATTTTACCATGAAGAGATGGCATCTATCCTTGAGAACAGTATAAATAACAATTTTTTACTTTCAGACGAATTCAAAATAAAGGTCTGATTAAGGTATTTAGAGTTAATTCAGACTTTCAAACAACATTTAGATCCACTGAAAACTATTCTTATTAAGCCATTAATTTATACTCTTTAGTTTATCTTTTCACTGGATATTTAGTTTCGAGTAAGTTTGATGCCTGTTGAACAATGAATACAATGATTTCTTCTGTATTCTTGTAAACTATGTTCATTTTTCATATTTTACTTTAACTGTAGATAATTCTTTACAATTTTTTTCAAGGTAAAGTCTAAAGTATCTTCACATGCTTAAACTTTTGAGTAACATACAGTTCCGAACATTAAAAGACCCATTTGTCACCATACTTTATGCTATTCGGTGGTTGAGTTCGGCACTTTCGTTGCATACCAAGATTCTGGTAGCACCGACTGTAAGCATGTCTTTCCAAGTAACTTCAAAGCCTGTTTGCTGAGAGACAGGAACTGAACATCCCAGGCCAGAGCTGTGACTCTAAAGTTAAACCTTTGTATTTATAGTAAAGATTCCTTGTTGCTGCTTGCGCACGTTAGCCAAAGCCAGTTTGGATTTATGGCTTTCTGTTCCTCGTATTAAAATATCAGTCAGAAAACTGCTGATGAAACTCTTAAAAATGATTCTACTTTCAAGTTCAGTTTCCCCAGAAAGGTGTAATGTTGAACACGTCTTTTGGGTGGATACCCAAAGCAAATACTGCTGTCCAGGTTTCAGGCTGTCTTTTTACCTGCCGCTGAGGTCCCCCAGAGTTGTCCAAGGATCTGCTGTCATAATGATGGTAACTAAATCATCTCCAGGAAACCCAGGATTTCTAGGCACTAGTAACTGATTAGTCAGCAAGGGACACTGTATCCTCAGGAAGTGTGTGCTGCCCCCTACTGGTAATTGTCATAGGGCTGTCTGTAATCTCATTAACACCTCTTAGGGCACAGAACAGAGCCAAGAGTCCCTTTTCAATGGAAATCTACTAGAGAGTAGTTAGGTAGAATGTAATTATGTAAAAAAATGAACTAATCCTAACTTTTGTGAAAGAAGTCTGGAAATATGGTTTGACAGTGTCTTTTATGCACCAGAGGAAATTTTATTTCTTTATAAAGTTGTCAGTTCTAATGTCATATTGCCAGAGAGGTTGCTCTGTTCTTTATTTTTAAGCCGTTTGGTGGAACTATTATGCACACAGTTTTCAAGACATACTTTTGTTTTCTTGATGGCAAATATATAGAGGACAAAATCCAGCTGTCTGGATGATGCCAAATATCTTTTTATTTTCCTAAAAAGAAAGGCCACATTTTGCAGTTTTCATCCAGACAGTTAAAGTGCCATGAGTTAATAGAGTCGGAAAGTAAAAACCCAAAGGATTTCTTGAGTACAATAGCATTTGCTTTCAACCTGCAAGGATGTAGACTATCCTAGGGGTGACACAATCATGATTGGTTCAAGAGTGCGAAGGGTGTTCTAATAGATATCTTTGTGGACTTCCCATCACTAATAGGTCTTTGCAAAGTCTCAACTGTCACTGAATGGCTCTCTGCCCTCACATCTGAAGTGGGTATTTGATAATAACACTCTGGTCTTAGTTTTCAGTCTGCAGAATTTTAAGGCGTAGAATCATATGGAATAGGCAAATGTTACAATGTTTATAAATGTGATATTCAGACACTTTAGTGCCTGACTCATTTGGAAAACAAAAGCAAAAAGTAACTTCTACTACTGTCCTACAGCCTGCATTTGAAAACAGATTTCTCTATCAAAGCCAAGGTTATTGAGAAATCTTAATTCAAGATGATGGAAAACAAGGCAGTTTGGAGTAACAGAGTTTGCCTACAGTGAGTGTAGGTCTAGAATTTTAGGAAACACTTAGAACATTACATTGTTCCTTGATGGGAAAGTCCGACAAGAAGGCTAGTGTTTTTAGGGTCACCCTAGCGATCTGGGACTCAGGTCCCTGTGCGGGCAATGACAGGGGCAAGCTAGGATTTGGCTCTGCAAGTACATGAAGGGACAGATTTGCATCTTCCTATCAGTATTGAACTTCCTTTTACTAATGAAAAATAAATACATACATTTTTAAAACATGGGTGTTTTGCTTTTTTATGCACTGGCTTGGCTAGAAAGCCAAAAAACTCGGCTTCTCCTTCTCTGGTCCGGGACATCAGAAGGAACTTGTTCCTTCTTGAGACTCCTTGTATTTTATTTGCCCCTCTTACACTCCTTTGTCCATTGTGGCTGAGGAGCGAGACCATGGTCCTGCCTGGCCTCTGATCTCTCCTCTGCCACGTCGGAGATGCTGTGTGACCTTGATCATCTTATCAGCTCTCTGGCCTCAGCTTCCCTATCGGCAGACCAGGAGTGAAGCCCACAGACAGGGTTTGTGAGAAAGAACGAGGCAGGGCACGGCAGGTGCTTAGAAGAGGTCTTGGTGCACAGCGAGTGTCAGCAGAATGCCTTCGGTCACAGCTCCTGGCTACATACATCTTTCTCCCCAGGGCCAGCGGGCTGGGGCCCCCTTTCCCTCGGCGCCACCCTGCGGGGTCCTCCGCTGCACCTCTGCAAAGGCGGGGGCCCGGGCGAGTCAGGAACTCTGCTGTGCCGAGCCGGTGCATCCGCGGGCCAAGCGGCGGCCGGCCGTTGCCGCGGCGCCAGTTGCTAGGGGCGTCGTTGTCAGGGACGCTCGCCCCGCGCTCAGCTACCTCAGCCTGGTGACCGGGCCCTGTGCGGCTCCATGGATGACCTACGAGTGTTGTGGATTCGCGACCGCGTGTACAAGGCCTTCAGCTTCACCGACCCCGGCCTCTTCGAGGAGCTGCTGTCCCGCGACGACGGCGAGGCCGAGGACCTCATCCTACACTTCCTCAACCAGATCAGCGACGAGGAGGCCGCTGCGACGCTCTTCTTCTACCGGACGGTGGTGCCGGAGGAGGTGGAGGTGGAGATCGGTGAGCGCCCGCCGGCCCCGCCGCCCCTTCTCGCCCTCCCCAGCGGGAGGGTTGCAGACCCCCGCCATCCATCCGGCCTGGGCCTCAGATGCAGCCCATAATCACGCACTGTCGCCCACCACGTGCAGGCACCGTCCTACGCCCGGGTGACCCAGGCGGCTACCCGCGGCCCACTGCTCACTTGGAAATCACACCTTAATCAGTAATCACTGCAAACACTTTAGCACTCACCTGTACCAGGCACTTGTTATATCAACTCATCAATCCTATAAGTGGGGTATATTGTTATGCCCGTTTTACAGACGAGGCACAGAGAGGTTAAGTAATCCGTCTGGGGCTCCCCAGGCAGTAAAGATTCAAATGAAGATAGGAGTCACTGTCAAAACCACCCGCAGTAGGTGTGCCGAGAAATGGTTCAGGTGCTCACGCTCCTGGAGAGACGCAGGAACTCACACAGGTGAAAAAAGGCACGCTTTCTAATTTTTGAGGCATGTTACGGCTGCTAACCAAAAGGTAGGCAGTTCAAATCCACCAGCCGCTCCTTGGAAACCCAATGGGGCAGTTCTACTCTGTCCTCTGGGGTCGCTATGGGTTGGAATCAACTTGACGGCAGCAGGTTTGATTTTGTTTGGATGTGCCGAAAGAGAAATGCCAGAAGAAGCGTTTTAAAGAATTACAGTAGAATTTAAATGTTTACGTTGAACACATTAAGCACTTCACACACAAAAACCGACAGCGACCGGATGTGGTGGAGCCACGTGACCGGATGTGGGGCGGCCAAGTCACGTGGCTACTGCAGCATGACAAATGTCTGGAACCGCACAGGCTGAATGCAGAGGACGGGACAGGGACACGCTGGCGGGGTCGCAGAAACTCGTAGGTTCTCTCCCACACAAAGACCGAAGACCGGCAAGATCGCAGTGGGGATTTGTGTGAGGTATTTGATCAATGTGAGAGGTTCCTGTGTTAGTCCGGGAGCTTCCCGAGGACTTTTGGGCCCCTACAGGGCCTCTTATGGGATGGGAATGAGGTGGGAAACCACGAGGACCTTTTTTTTTTTTGATATTACACTTTTTTTTTTAAAAGTATTAGGCACACCTTATCTATTTATGTATTTATCTACCTATCTAATCTATGTATCTGTATTTATTTATTTCTAGTCCCTGGGGGGTGCAAACAGCTAATGTGCTAGGCTGCTAACAGAAAGGTTGGCAATTTGAATGCACCCAGAGATACCTTGAAAGAAAGTCCTAGCGATCTCCTTCTGAAAAAATCAGCTACTGGAAAGCCCTATGGAGCACAGTTGACTCCATGGCCGTGGTTTTTTGGTTATTTTTAATTTTTATGTTATTGTGATAAAATACACACAACGTAAAAGTTGCCATTTTAACCTTTTTGTTTTTTGGTTTGTGTTTCATCTTTTTTTTTCATGGTGTTAAGCTTACAAAACAAAGTACAGCTACAAAGTACAAAAGAGAAGGCACAGCAGTAATATAGTAGTTCCACCAATTTCTGTCAAGGTAGAACAAAGTTTTTTATTTTATTTTTTTTTCCCATACAAAAATTTATACGTACATTGTTGTGTGACTTTTAATTGCTCTCCCCATACTGTGACAGCACACTCCTCCTTTCCACCCCTGATTCCCCATGTCCATTCAACCAGCTCCTAACCCTCTCTGCCTTCCCATCTCACCTCCGGACAGAAGCTGCCCATTTCGTCTCTTGTATCTACTTGACCTAAGAGGCCACACTCCTCACAAGTATCACTTTATGTTCTACAGTCCAGTCCAATCCCTGTCTGAAGAGTTGGCCTTGGAAATTGTTTTAGTTCTGGGCTGATAGAGAATCCGGGGGCTGTGCTTTCTGGGGTTCCTCCAGTCTCAGACCATTAAATCTGATCTTCTTACTAGAATTTGAGTTCTGCACCCCACCTTTCTCCTGCTCCATCCTGAACTCTCTGTTGTGTTCCCTGTCAGGGCGGTCATTGATGGTAGCCAAGCACCATCTAGTTCTTCTGGTCTCAGGCTGATGCAGTCTCTGGTTTATGTAGCCCTTTCTGTCTCTTGGGCTGATACTTTCCTTGTGTCTTTGGTGTTCTTCATTCTCCTTTATTCCAGGTGATTGGGACCAACTGATGCATCTTAGATGGCCGCTTGCAAGCTTTTAAGACCCCAGACACCACTCACCAAAGTAGGAGGCAGAACATTTTCTTAATAAGCTTTGTTATGCCAGTTGACCTAGATGTCCTCTGAAAGCATGGTCCCCAGACCCCTACCCCTGCTACTGTGTCCCTCATAATGTTTGATTGTATTCAGGAAACTTCTTAGCTTTGGTTTAGTCCAGTTGTGCTGACTTCCCTGTAGTGTGTGCTGTCCTTCCGTTCACCTAAGATAATTCTTATCTGCTATCTAGTTAGTAAATAACCCTCCCCCTCCCTCCCCACCCTCGTAACCGTCAAAGAATGTTTTCTTCTGTGTTTAAACCTTTTCTTGAGTTCTTATAATAGTGGTCTTATATAATATTTGTCCTTCTGTGACTGACTAAATTCACTCAGCATAATGACCTCCAGCTTCCTCCATGTTCTAAGATGTTTCACGGCTTCACCGTTGTTCTTTATCGTTGTGTAGTATTCCATTGTGTGGATACACCGTAATTTGTTTATCCATTCGTCCATTGATGGGCACCTAGGTTGTTTCCATCTTTTTGCTATTGTGAACAGTGCTACAGTGAACATGGGTGTGCATATTTCTATTCGTGTGACGGCTCTTACTTCTCTAGGATATATTCCAAGGAGCGGGATAGCTGGATCATATGGTACTTCTATTTCTAGCTTTTTAAGGAAGCGCCAAATCGATTTCCAAAGTGGCTGTACCATTTTACATTCCCACCAACAGTGTATAAGTGTTCCAGTCTCTCCACAACCTCTCCAGCATTTATTATTTTGTGTTTTTTGGATTAATGCTAGCCTTGTTGGGGTGAGATGTTATCTCATTGTAGTTTTGATGTGCATTTCTCTGATGGCTAATGATCGTGAGCATTTCTTCATGTGTCTGTTAGCCGCCTGAATATCTTCTTTGGTGAAGTGCCTGTTCATATCTTTTGCCCCTTTTTTAATTGGGTTATTTGTCTTTTTGTTGTAGAGGTTTTGCAGTATCTTGTAGATTATAGAGATTAGATGCTGATTGGCTTTGTCGTAGCCAAAATTTTTTTCCCAGTCTGTAGGTTGTCTTTTGACTCTTTTGTTGAAGTCTTTTGATGAGCTTAAGTGTTTGATTTTTAGGAGCTCCCAGTCATCTAGTGTCTCTTCTGGTGCTTTGTGCGTTGTTACTTATGGTTCGTATCGTGTTTATGCCATGCATTAGGGCTCCTAGCATTGTCGCTATTTTTTCTTCCATGATCTTTATCATTTTGAGGTCCAGTCTTTTTGCCCTAGGCAGACCTGTTGACTGGGAGATTACATTTAGACTAGAATTTAGACTCTGATTATCACAAGTTAAATTATGGATACAAAGATACACTAACAGACTTGAATATTTAACATCCACCATGATTTCAGTAGTCCTGGTTTTGCATACTTTTTAATTTTATTTTAATCTACAAAGACTCTAAAAAAAATGGAAGCAACTTAGACCTTTTGTGACCTCAGAAAACGAAAAAAAACAAACCTGCTGCCATCAAGTCAATTCCAACTCATAGGGACCCTACAGGACAGAGTAGAGCTGCCCCGTAGAGTTTCCAAGGAGCACCTGGTGGATTTAAACTACCAGCCTTTTGGTTAGCAGCTGTAGCACTTAACCACTATACCACCAGCGTTTCCTGTGACCTCTGAGGCCCTCTCTAAATGGTTCTTGGCTGTTTTCTGCTCTGGGTGCACTAATACATGTTTAACTGAGATGTCTCCTGGCTGGATGTCCCCAGCCCTCGTGGGAGCAGAAATCAGACTCAGAATGGTCTGCTGGGTTAATTCTTGGAATTCCAAAGGGTGCTCAGAAACCCTCCATCAGTTTCTGCCTGTTCCAGGCTGCCTTTGTCCCCTGGTCTTCCCCTCCTTTTCCACCTCTTCACTGTTACGTGTCACCAGAGTGCCAATGTACTCTCCACCGGGGATGCTGTCCACGGAGACTCTTGAAGCTGCCGATCCTGAAGGTGCATAATGGTGCTGAGTATCAGGTTCTGGACAGAGGTGGGGAGAAAGGACCTTCTCCCTAACTCTTTTTCTCCGTTTGTCACTTGCCTTCTGCTTATTAAGCCTACTGGCTCACAAAGACCCTGGAACAGTTCCTCCTTTGCACCGTTTACGGGGGTTTCTGGCCTGACCAAAGGACCTGGAGTGGGGCCAGTCCATGTCTCATCATCCCTGTTTCTATTTCTGCGTCTCTCCTGGTCCAGACATCTTCACTCTGCTCCCAGGCAAAAATGCTATGAATGGACACAGATAGATACTGGTGAGGGTGGTAGTGAGGAAGGAGGGGTTTCTGCACTAGTCACAGCTAGGCCAAGATGCTCTGTTCTAATGGGAATGCATGTGTTGTTTCTTAAAATAACAAAAGGGAATCATGCTGTTCATAATTAATAACTTCATTTTTTTAATTACACAAATATTACCAGAATGCGAGTGATTTTAAAAATTCACAACATAGAATTAAAGTGAGAAAGCATCTCTTCACCATCCCTTGAGGCCATTCCCACTGTTATTCCAATAGATAGCCACTTTTGTGAGTTTAGTGTGTATCCTGCCAGATCTGTTTCTGGATATTTGTCTGTGTCTATCTATCTAATCTAATATACCTACCTACCTGCGACCTGTCACCTATCAATCATCTCTCTCTCTGTCTGTTTACCTACCCACCTGCCTACCTGCATATCAGTCACCCATATCTATGTCTGTCTGTCTACCAACTACCTACCTAACTACCTGTCACCTATCATTTACGTGTGTCTATTTATCTACCACCCACCTTATCAGTCATCTATCATCCCTGTCTGTATGTCTCTGTCCACCTACCTGCTTATCTGCCTGCCTACCTATCACCTGTCATCTATGTCTGTCTATCTGTCTATCTCGTAATAGTGAAGCACTCGGTTGCTAACTGAAAGATCAGTGGTTCAAACCCACCAGCCACTCTGGGAGAAAAGACCTGGCGATCTGCTCCCATGTTGATTACAGCCTAGGAAACCCCATGGGGCAGTTCTACTCTGTCCTACAGGTTGCAGTATGTGGAAATCGACTTGATGGTGCACACCCACGACAACTGTCATTTATGTATGTCTGTCTGTTATCTGTATCTTTCTCTCTATAGTTATGATACATGTATAGATGGAGCCCTGGTGGTGCAGTGGTGAAGCGCTCAGGCTGCTAACTAAAAGGTCAGCAGTTCGAATCCACCAGCCACTCCTTGGAAACCCAGTGGGGCAGTTCTACTCTGTCCTGTAGGGTCACTCTGAATCGGAATCAACTCGATGGCAATGGGTTTGCTTTTTTTTTTTTTTGGTACACATACATGTAATATATTGGTATATATCCATTACCCTGTTACCATTGAGTCAATTCTGACTCAAAGTGACCCTATAGGACAGAGTAGAAGTGCCCCATAGGGTTTCGAAGGAGTGGCTGGTAGATTCAAACTGCTGACCTTTTGGTTACCAGCCTGAGCTTTTAACCACTGTGCCACCAGCACTCCTAGGTATATACAGAGCTTCTAAAATCATAAATAAGTTCATACTATACGTATTTTTGTCTCCCCCCTGCAAAAAAAAAAAACAACAAAAAACAACCTGTTTTGGAAATTTTTTCATGTCAATTCCTACAGGTCTACCTAACTTTCTGCATTTTAAGTACACTGATGTACCGTATGTTATTTATCTGTTCCCTAACCAGTGGGCGTTTGGGTTTGCACAGCGTTTCATTCTGCAGACAGTGTAGCCATGTACATCTGTCTTTATGCACTTTGTGTCCTTCTGCAGGATAGCTTTATAGAAGTGGCATTGTTGGGTTCATGGACGTGCTGGTTTAAAATCCAGTACACACCCAGCAACGGTGGCTGAGGGGGCTGTTTCCCAATGTCTTTGCCAGCACTGAGTGTTATCATTTTAGTTTTGGCCAATCCAGTAGATGAAAAGTGGATGCACTTTATTATTCACCTTTTTATAATTTGTAGTGAAACTGAGCATCTTTTTATAACTTGGTGGTTATTTCTGTTTTTTTCAGGGCTGCTCTTAAGTATGTGATCATTCTTGTGTCTTTCATCTCGGCAGAATTGGCATATGATTTACCCCAGCTGTCTCCAAAAACTGAGATATTTCAAAGCCCAAACCTGCCCCACAAATGACTGTCCTGTGGGCCCCATCCCAACCCGTTGGCTCTAAGGGAAGCAGCAATATTGGGTGTCTCATACAGTGAAACAAATAAGTTTTATGTTTTCTTTCCACTTACGTGGCGATACAGACAGTGAGCTGCCAGTCCCATCCGAAGAGGAAGATGAGGAAGAAGAGATTGAGCCCGTGGATAAAATATCAGGTGTGGTATTTGGGCGGGGGATGCTAGAGGTGAACAGAACTCAGAAAGCATTCCCCTGGAAGTAGGAGCTTCGCTTGCCCAGACTGGGCTCATTTTCTACCTTTTACCTTGATGGGGCTAAGACTTGGTATGAAGTACAAAGGGCCAGTGCCAGGTTTTTAAAATGTACGATGCCTGAAAACACCCATTCTTGTATATTGCCTCAGACAGCTCAGGGAAGAACAGATGGTATATACTGTATTTTGTAGAGCAGGCTTTCCGTTCTGCAACCTACAGATGCAATTTCTTTTAGAGAGTCTCCGAGGCACAGTACTTTGAAATCAAAATAGTTTATTGAGGTGAAATGCACATAACATAAAGTTAACCATTTTAAAGTGAACAATTTAGTAGCATTTAGTACATTCACAGTCTTGTGCAACCATTACCTCTGTCTACTTCTAGAACATCTCTGTCACTTCAAAGTGACACCCTATACCCATTAAGTAGCTTCTCCCCCTTCCACAGCCCGTGTAGCTAGGAAAGGTCCCTGGGTGACACAGATGGTTTGCTCTTGACTACTAATCGAAAGGCTGCTAGCGTAAGTCTGCCAGCAGTGCCTTGGAAGAAAGGCTTGGCAATCTGCTTTCGTAAAGATTACAGCCAAGAAAACCCTATGGAGCAGTTCTATTGTGTAACATGGAGTTGCTGTGAGTCAGAATCGACAGCAGCGGGGTTGTGTGATTTGGTAGCTGTGAGAAACACGGACACGTGCACACACGCACACACACGCACGCACATATATGCACGTTAAATTTCTGACTGAGGGCCCATCAAAAATGCAATACAATTCTTAATTATAACGCACGTCAAGGCTACATAGGATTCGTTTGGAAAACTGTATTGCAACTGTTTGATAATGTGCCTATCAGAAGGAATATGCATTTGTAAAAATGTATTGCAACTTTTTGATAATTTGCCTATCGGAAGGAATATGCTGTTGTCCAAAATGTGGGTGTAGTCTTGATGGCAGCTGCTTAATTTTGGTAATTTTGTCTTACTTCCTGGATCGTGTTTTGCAGCTAAGAATTTACAGCCAAGTATGGATTCCGTAGATCAGCCTTTAATCGCCACAGCGGAGGGAGACATGGCCAGAGAGATGATAGAAAAACTGCCCATCAAGGTAGGCAGGGGTCTGTTTCCTCTCTGGTGGAGTAATGGGAATCTAGGGTCCTGTGATGAGTCAGATCAGACCGTCCCGGGTTGGGGGTCCCCAGGACCACTCTCAGGTTTGATGAGTCACTGGAAGGACTCACCGCACCCAGAAAAGTTGTTATACTCAAAGTTATGGTTTATTGCAGTGAAAGGATACAGATTAGAGTCAGCAAAGGAGAAAGGTGCATAGGGTGGAGTCCAGGAGAGACCAGATGTGAGCATCCAGTTGTCCCCTCTGAGTGGAGTCACACGGATGGTGCTTAATTCTCCCGGCAACAGTGTGTGACATGTATGAAGGGTTGTCAACTAGGGAAGCTCATCTGAGCCTTGGTGTCCAGGGTTTTTATTGGGCTCAGTCACATAGGCATGGAGCGCCACGGAATGCCTTGTGACTGACCTTATCTACTCAGCCTTCAGGCACCCCAGAGGTCAAACTGATAAAACAGGCCCAGGGCCCCAGGGGAACAAAAGCAGGTGTTTACCATAAATCACATTGTTAACATTGACAACCTGGCATGGCCCTAGCTCCCAGGTAAACAAAGTCTTTTTTTTTTTTTTTAATAATATTTTATTATGTTTTTGGTGAAAGTAAACAGTTTAGATTCCTATTCAACAATTTCTGCACAGGTTATTCAGTGACATTGGTTACATTCTTTACTATGCGTGAACGTTCTCATTATTTCCGTTCTGATGGTTTTGTTTCTATTATTCTAGTTTCCCTGTCTCTTTACATTATCATTTTGTTTTAAAGTAATTGTTGACCAACAAAGTCACTGTTAGCAGGCAGGACATTCCCAGGGCTTAGAGGTACCACCCAGGAGCCCCCGCAAGGACCAGTCCTGAAGTCCTTTGGAATGTGCAGGGCTTGGACAACCCAGGCCTGTTGAATTAACCCTTGACTGCACAAATCCCAAGGGAGGTACTTACAGCCAGGATGTAAGCGTCAGCCTGCCTTTTGCTTAATGAAATGATACCTAATTGCCCCATGACTATGCCCCCCAAACTCAGTTCGAGCCTGGTTTGTTACAGTTTTATAGGCTTGCAAAGCTCTGTCCAGACTTTTTCCGGAGTAGTCGGTTCAAGCGTTGGCCACCGTAGGCAGTTAGTCAAAGAGCCAGGCTGAGCGCAGAGCCTGGGTGCGTTGTAGCTCGTGGGCTGTGGCCCGCCGGTACTTGCCGTGTGGCTGCTTTGTAGTACAGTAACATCAGCCACTGCATTGAGAGGGAGGTGTACAGGGACTTGCCTGGCAGATTCTCTGGGTGGAGGGGTACATCTCGGGGTGACGGTCCTTGTTCCCCGTGTTTCAGAAAATTGTTAAGCACACTGTGGAAAGGATCCACCTCCACGTGACTTGTACTCCTGTTCCTGAGGAGTTTCTGGACCAGAACGTGCTGTTTTTTCTCAGAAATACTAAAGGTATATTCCCGGGGTGTGTGTGTACGTGTGTGTGTGATTCCTTTCTTTCTCTTTTTACATTTTAGTGAGACTATCCCTTTTTATTATTCTGTTATTTATAATATGATATGCTTTATTATTTTATTTTGATTATTTTATCATGTTCATTTATATACTAACACAGTATTAACATAGTCTTAAGTCTATTTATAACAATTAGGGGAAGATTCAGAATGATGTGACCCCGTGTGATAGGATGAACTTTGAGGGGCTTTCTTTGCACGACTGGGCGATTTAAAATGCAGGTGCTGCTCAGAAGTCAGCTTTGGCCTGCAGGGTAACTTTGGGGGGATGGCTCCACCGTCGGTCTGGCTGCAGCCATCAGTCTCAGCGGCCGCCCAGCGACCATTGCTCGCTCACCTCGTCTGCCTCCCAGCCCCCTTGCCCCATTCCACTCAGCTTCCTCTCCACTTTCTCCTGCCCACACACTCTCCCGTTTCTTCTGCCCTCACCACCACCACCCTGCCTAAGATCCTGTGCCTATTGTGTTTTAGGACCCCCCCTAAATCCCAGAACCAACATCATTTTATCGATGTTGCGTATTTTTTTCTTTTTTGAACTTGAGTGGCACTTTGGGTCAGGGCCTCCCCATTAAGCACTGAGTTGTCCTCTACCTCGTTCCTTGCAAGTGGGAGAATAATAGTCGTAGCGTAAATAGCCTCACGCTCTCTCGAGTTTGCGCTTCCTCTCACGGTTCTCTTCCTGAGCAGCCCGTCTCAGTTCTATAGTTCTATGTCGTCTTAGTCCCCCAGTGCTGCCGTAACAAAGTAGCACTAAGTGTTCGGCTTAGTGCAACAGACACGTATTGCCGCCCAGTTGCGGAGGCTAGAAGTCTGATAGGAGGGTGTCGGCAGGGTCGTGTTGTCTCTGAAGGCTCTAGGGGAAGATCCTTCCCTGTCAGTCTTAGATTCCGGCAGCCCCAGGTGTTTCTTGGCTTGTGGATGAATCTTCACATGGCTGTCCTCCTGTGTCCACATCTCAATTCTTAGAACAACACCCGCCATGTTGGTGTAGGACACACCCTACTCCGGTATGACCTCGTTGGTAACCTGACTGATAACATCTGCAAAGGCCCTCTTTCCAAACAAGGTCACGTTCACTGCTACCAGGGGTTAAGATCTCAGTATTTCTTTTTGGAGGACACCATTCAGTCCATCACACAGATCTCGAACACTTCTCTAATAACAAAAATAACCAGTTTCTGTTGAGTCAGCCCTGACTCATGGCAATCCCATGTGTGTCAGAGTAGAACTGCGCTCCGTAGGGTTTTCAGTAGCTGATTTTTTGGAAGTAGATCACCAGGCCTTTCTTCCGAGGTACGTCTGGGTGGACTCCAACCTCCAGCCATTTGGTCCACAGCTGAGCATGTTAACCATTTGCAACACCCAGGAACTCTAGTAGTTGCTAATTCTCTTTTGTAACAACATCAGTACCAAAAACGTAGACCTTAGGCTGGGCTGCAGTGCTCCCTAGTCTGAAATTTATTTTCACTGTTTGTGTTTTTTTATGGTTGCCTTTTATTTATGACAAGCTCTTTTTTTTTTCATACTGGGTTCTTATGTAGTTTCCCTTGAAAATAAATTTATTCAAGTAAAAATTGTTTAATTTAAGGAAAAATTTAAGTAGATAATAGTGCATATCTACATAAGAACCAAAAACCAGACCCACTGCCATCAAGTTGATTCCGATTCACAGCGACCCTAGAGGATAGAGTAGAACTGCCCCATGGTGTTTCCAAGGCTGTAATCTTGACAGAAGCAGACCGTCACATCCTTCTCCCGCGGGGCGGCTGGTGGGTTCGATAGACGTGGGAAAACGTGAAGACTGACACTCGTGAAGTAATTGCTCCGGCTGATAGATTTGTTGGGTTTCTGCTTTGTTTCCCAGTTACAGGGAGGGAAGAGTTCCAATAACCTTTAAAATGTCTGCTGTGGCAATTCATTTTTGGTGAGGTGAAATACATACATATCAAATAAAACCTTGTCAGAAGGGTAGAACTCTGTTACCAAATGTGTCTTTTTTATAGAGTTTGTTTTTTGTGGTAAAGATATGCATAACAAAAACACTTGCCATTTCAACATTTTTTATACGTACTAATAGTGACCTGAAGTACATTTACCATGTGGTGCAGCCGTCACCACTATCCATTTCCAAATGTTTTCGTCACCCTTAAGAGAAACTCAGTGCCCCTTCCGCAGTAACGCCCTCCTCCCCCAGTCCCGGCTGGCCTCTGGTCTTATTTCTGGCTCTGTGCCTTTGCCTGTTGTAGAGACTTCACGCAGATGGAACCGTCCAGTAGTCTCCTTTTATGACTGACTCCTTTCACTCAGCATTGTGTTTCCAAGGCTCCTCCGTGTTGCAATGTGAATAAGAACTGCACTTCTCTGTATGGCTGGGTGATATTCTATTGTATGGACAGGCCACATTCAAATACATCTTTGAAAAACCCATGACTCAGAAGATGCTTTGACAATGAATTGGGGAGGAGGCTGGCCGCGGGGAGACAGGCCCAGCAAGGACTTCAACAAACGTTTCTCAGCAAACGCAAATGGTTTCTGTTCTTGCCCAGCTTTAGATCCTCCAACCAGGTTACCTAGTATGTGTTAGCTCTCTGCGCTGCTGTGCTAACCCGCCATCCAGAGTGAGTCAGTATTGATTGCAGCTTCCCCAAGGCTGAGGGATTCATTTGAATAGCAGTTGACACATGTTCTGAGTTTGTGTTCCTTTGTTGCTCCTGGGGAAGAAGGAAGAACTTCTGTAGAGTTGGAAATGCTCACTGTGTGACGTTCTCCGCTACTGATCTTATTCTCTGGGTCTGTTCCTATTTAGAGGCAATTACCGAAGCTACGGACATGAAGGAAGCTATGGAAGTCGTGCCGGAAACACTGGAGTATGGAGTTATAAATGCTCATGTGCTGCACTTTCTGAGGGATATCATAGGTCAGGTAAATGTGGACAAAAGAGGAAATCTCAGCGTTTAAAGATGAGGGCCTTTTGGTTCATTTATTCTGCAAATATGTAATGGGCAGCTCTTACGTACAGGACGCTGTGGTGGGCACTGAGGGTGGAGCGGGGAGCAGGCCAGAGGCATTCCTGTACCCCCAGAGCCTCCGTTAGGGGAAAAATCACGAAAAACAAGTACGGTCCCAGGAAAATATCAGGTAAGAGCACGAGGCATGAGGAGAATAAATCCTGGAGTCCCTGTGTGGTGTGGACAGTTAATGCACTCGTCTGCTAACCAAAAAGTCAGCCGTTCGAGTCCACCCAGAGGCGCCTTGGAAGAAAGACCTGGTGATCTACTTCCTTAAAATCAGCTGTTGAAAACCCTGTGGAGCATAGTTCTACTGTGGCACACACGAGGTCACCATGCATCTGAATTGACTCGAAGGGAGCTGTTTTTTTTTTTTTGGTCCTCAGCTAGGTTTCAAAAAGACAGCGTCCCGAGTTCCTTCTTTTTCTCTTGATACACCAATGAGCGTGGTGCTGAGCTGACCGGTTAACACACGGTTCTCACTTATTGGTGCCGCTGTTGCTGACTTCTCAGCTGCTGAAGACTTGAGACTGGTGGCAGCTAAAGAGATAACAGTATTGTTTGGGTCTTAGAAGTGGTTAAAATTCTCACCCTTAGATCACCTTAAGTCTAGTGTGATTGCTCTCTCTTTTAAGTCGGTGCTCAGAGCTTGAGTGTTTTTCACTTTGTTGTTACATCAGCCCCTCATACTGTAGGATATTTAAAGCCAGAGGCAAATTAAGAATACGGATTATTGAGAACGATTTTGTGCGATCAATTTGGCATTCCAGGTCTTTTTGCCGGCTTTGTCGTTCAATCAACACAAAACGGATACAAGTGTGGGATTAACAGACGGTTCCGATTCTTCCGAGTATGAGATGAACCTACCCAGCATGCCAGGGGAAGCCGTGGAGTATCACAGTGTTCGGTTAATACGAGATGAATTTCTGATGAGCATTCAGAAGTTTTTAAATAATATTCAAAGAACCATGCAGCAACTTGAAGGTGAGGTTGTCTTTCTCTCCTCTGTAGTTAAGAATGATGAATTTAAGAAGGCACCTTAAGAGTTCAGGAGCGTTTGGGTTTTGATTTGTGATAACTCTTGTCTACATGGTTACACTGTAGACTAGAGTGGCTTTTATTCTCCTAAAAACCAAAACCAAACCCGATGCCATCGAGTTGATTCTGACTAATAGCGACCCTATAAGACAGAGTAGAGCTGCCCCATTGAGTTTCCAAGGAGCAGCTGGTAAATTCGAACCACCGACCTTTTGGTTAGCAGACAAACTCTCAACCGCTGTACCACCAGGGCTCCTTTATTCTACTAGGCGAGATCAAGTTGGAGATGCCCAGCATCAGTGTGGAGGGGGAGGTGTCTGAGCTGGCCGCTGACCAGGAAACCGTTGATATCTTGGAGCAGTGTGTGATAAACTGGTTGAATCAGATCTCTGAAGCTATTGAGGGCCAGCTGAAGAAGACACCCCAGGTAGGTTGGGCAGTGCTTTCCAAGACCGCTGACACAGGTCATGCGTGGCACCCTGAGAAAGAGCCAGGGGTCTGGGGAGTTGCATGATCACTGTTTTGTGACCTTCTTAAAAGATCAAAGTAAATACACCTAAGATATCATCCTTGGGCTTTCTGGGGTTAGTGTGCTACCTGATTAGTGCCTGGATTAATAAAGATAACACTGTGTATCAGTCAGGATGCTTGGGCTGCAAAACACAGGAAACCCAACCCAAATGACTTAAACAGGAAAGGAAATTCATTGACACGCATGACTGAAAAGTCCAGAGACAGGGCTGGCTTCAGGTACAGTTTGATCAGGCTTCTGGCTGTGTTTTTCTGTAATTCTCTTACAGCCAATCTCGTCTCCGTGGAATCGTCTTCCTTAGGCTGGTTTCCTTCACGGTAGCAACTTGCAGCAGTTTCTGGCCCTACATTCACACACCACATTGTCCAAGACAGAGTGCCTTTGTGCAGCATTCCCAGTTAGAGCCGGAGATTCACCGTGGTTGACCGTGCTAGGTCAGGGGCCCACCCCTGCACCAGTCACCAGCCTAGATGACTGTGCAGATTGACCCTCATTTGGAGCAGTTGGGGAGAGAGGAATGGATGTTGGGGATTCAACCCCAGGAGCCCAGTCCATGCTAGTGATTTAGAGTTGTCTGTGTGTTCACGTCACCTCTCAGGGTAATGGTCCCTTGGCCGAAATTGATTTCTGGCGGGAAAGAAATGCAACCCTAAGTGCGCTCCATGAGCAAACAAAGCTTCCAGTAGTCAGAAAGGTCTTGGAGGTGATGAAGGAATCGGACTCAATGCTTGTGGCCAACCTGCAGCCAGCTCTGACCGAGCTATTCAAATTACACATGGAAGCTGCCGACAACGTGCGGTTTCTCTCCACCGTGGAGCGCCACTTCAAGGTATGTTGGGCACGCACTCCACGCGTTAGCTCTCACCTGGATTTCGTTTACTAGCGTTCAGAGTTCCCCTCCGCTCTGAATTTATCGTGCACAAGTACAGTTTGACAAGGTCAGAACAATGAACCCAGAAAAAGCTCTATTTATGTGTGGGTGTTGTGTGCGTGTATGTATGTATACATGCATACTCAATATATATGCATACGTGTTCTGTATATACTATATTCTCTCTCTATGTATGTATACATATATGTACTCAATATATATACATGTCTTTGTTGTTGTTAGGTGCTGTCGAGTCAGTTCTGACTCACAGTAACCCCATGTACAACAGAACGAAACACTGCCCCGTCCTGCGCCATCCTCACAATTGTTGTTTTGCTTAAGCCCATTGTTGCAGCCGCTGTGTCACTCCATCTGGTTGAGGGTCTTCCTCTTTTTTGCTGACCCTCTACTTTACCAAGCAAGATGTCCTTCTCCAGGGACTGATCCCTCTTGATAACATGTCTGAAGTATGTGAGATGATATCTCGTCATCCTTGCTTCTAAGGAGCACTCTGGCTGTACTTCTTCCAAGACTGATTTGTTTGTTCTTTTGGCAGTCCATGGTATATTCAGTATTCTTTGCCAACACCGTAATTCAAATGCATCAATTTTGTATTCTATATATACATATATATTCTCTCTGTGTATATGTGTGTGTGTATGTATGTGTATATATACATAATATTCAATATATACATACATATTGTATATATACATATTTCTCTCTATAAATATGTGTATGCGTATATATATACTCAATATATATACATGTTGTTGTTGTTAGGTGCCATCGAGTCAGTTCCGACTCATAGTGACCCAGTGCACAACAGAACGAAACCCTGCCCTGTCCTGCGCCATCTTCACAATCGTTGCTATGTTTGAGCCCGTTGTTGGAGCCGCTGTGTCAGTCCATCTCGTTGACGATCCTCCTCTTTTTCACTGGCCTTCTATTTTACCAAGCATGATGTCCTTCTCTAGGGGCTGATCCCTCCTGATAGCATGTCCAAAGTGTGTGAGACAAAGTCTCTCCATCCTTTCTTCTAAGGAGCATTCTGGTTATACTTCTTCCAAGACTGATTTGTTTGTTCTTCTGGCAGTCCATGGTATATTCAATATTCTTTGCCAGCACCATAATTCAAATGCATCAATTCTATATTTTCTATATACATATATACTTTTTACATGTGTGTGTGTAAGTATGTGTAGGTATACATATATATTCTGTATACATATATGTTCTATATGTACATATATACTTTTTATATGTATGTGTATGTATTTGGGTCTATCTATATATATACTCAATATATACATATATATTTTGCATATACATATGTACTGTATATATACACAGTCGTATTTTATGTACACCTCTTCAAATTGCTGTATTTACTTTAATCGTAAATCTTGTCTGTATTTCCATGTCAGCAAGTATAGATGTATTTCAAACTGCTTTTGTCTGTTAAAACACTTTCTCCTGTAATAAGTACATTTTTCTGAATTAAGAAGACTGGAATTCTTGCACCCTTAGTGTTTAGTGAAGATACATGAATCCTCAGGCTAAGGTTGCTCTCATTGCCTTCTCCTGTTCCTGCTTCCCCCGTTAGAACATCACGCACGGATCCGGATTCCACGTTGTCCTGGAGACCATTCCCTCCATGATGAGTGCCCTGCGGATGGTGTGGATCATCTCCCGACACTACAACAAAGATGAGAGGATGATCCCCCTCATGGAGCGCATCGCCTGGGAAATTGCCGAGAGGGTCTGCAAAGTTGTCAATTTGCGGACTCTGTTCAAGTAAGAAGAAACCGTGGGTTTTTTTGTCTTTTTTTTTTTAGATTTTAAACAGCTTTATTGAGTTGTAATTCACACACCATACAAGTCACCCATTTAAAGTGTATGGTTCAGTGGCTTTTAATACAGTCCCAGAGTTGTGCACTCGTCACCACAATCAATTTTAGAACATTTTCATCGCCCCAGAAAGAAACCTTGTACCCATTAGCAGTCACCACCCCACCCCCCCGCCCCCCGCAGCCCTAGGCCACCACTAATCTCCTTTCTGTCTCTGTGCATCTGCCTGCCCTAGACATTTCCTGTAAGTGAAATCACACAACATGTGGCCTTTTGCGTCTGGCTTCTTTCACGCAGCGTAACGTTTCCAAGGTTCATCCACATGGTAACGTGTCAGAGCTTCATTCCTTTGTATGGCCCAATACTGTTCCACTGTGCAGATATGTAGGCTGTTTATTTTAACCAGGACCTTTTTCCTGAGGTATCCTCAGAGAGACTGAAGGCAGATGGTGGGAGGAGCCTCAGTCCTGAACTCTGGGCCCCCCTTGTTCCCCAGGTGGAATAAGTCTATATTGAGTCAGACACAGTGGCATTTGTAAAACATTTGTCTCATACAGTATAGGTTCGCCTGTCTATGAGTCAAGGTGAAATAAACTCAATATGGCAAGAGAATCACAAAATACCGTGTAGGGTTTAGAGGAGAAGGATATTGTGTTTGGTCACGGGTTAAAAAACCCAGCCAAACCCATTGCTGTGGAGTCGATTCCAACTGATAGCAACACTGTAGGACAGAGTAGAGCTGCCCCACACGGTTTCCAAGGAGCGGCTGGTGGATTCGAACTGCCAGTCTTTAGGTTAGCAGCTGTAGCTCTCAACCACTGTGCCACCAGGGGTTAGGGGGACCAAATGTAGAAGCACTTAAAAATACATCTCTAGATGAAGTTGATACCCACATCTTGGCATGGTTATCATTTTACTCCTGTGGAGCAGTGACCACCGTGGACCTCTGGCCTGGAACCCCTTGCAGCTCAAGCAGAAAGCTTACTGGGGGAGCCCCCGCTTTGCATGTGGGCGTGGGTGGGCAGCTGCAGCCCTGGCCAACCTTAGCCGCCATGGCACCTCCTACCCTGACCTGACAAATGACAGCGGAGCAGCAGCCCTTCCAGGAGAGGTGCTGAGGCCGAGAAATGGGGGAGGCTGCGCTCCTCAGTTAGACTTCTCCCTTGGGGAGCGGGGCTCAGACTCCCCGCAGCCCTGCACTTGCTCCCCTCACAGCAACTGTTCATTGGCAGGGAAAATCGGGCCAGTGCACAGCACAAAACCGCGGAGGCCAGGAACACCCTTACCTTGTGGAAGAAGGCCTATTTCGATGTGCGGGCCAAGATCGAGGCTTCAGGGAGAGAAGCACGGTGGGAGTTTGACAGGAAGCGGCTGTTTGAGAGAACAGATTACATGGCGACCATCTGCCAGGACCTCTACGACATTCTGCAGGTGGGAGGCTGGGACGCGAAGGAAGGCAATCAGAGGCTCAGCTGCCCGAAGGAAAGCAGCATGACTTTACAGGGGACCCCTCTCCATTTCAGGGAGATGCTGGAGTTGGGGCCTGGTGAGTCATGCACTCCATGGAGCGCAGTTATACTCTGACACCCATGGGGTCGCCATGAATCAGAGCTGACAGCAACGGGTAACTGGTGAGGTAGAAGGTAGCTAGTCACTTTGAACTACAAGTGCAAAGGCCCTGAGGCAGTAAGGAACCTGGAACTGAAAGAGGGCTGGCATGGCGGCCAAGAGGTGGGTTGAGAATGGTATGGGAAGAAGTTGGAGAAGTAGACAGGGACGCGCAGACCGTCCAGGCTGTGCTAAGAAGTCTGGATGTTAACCTCCGTGCAGTGGGAGCGCTAACAGAGAGCTGCAGGCTGGGTGGGCGGTGCCTGTGGGGCAGGATTCTTGCCTTCAAGGAGATCTAGATATGAAATCATTTTGCAGTTAGAACATACACACTGAAGCTGGAAGGTAACCCTCCTTGTGTTTTGTTTGACTGCACAGGTGATAGAGGAATTTTACAACATATTTGGTCCAGAGCTAAAGGCGGTGACCGGGGATCCCAAGCGCATTGATGACGTCCTGTGCCGGGTGGACAGCCTGGTCAGCCCCATGGAGAGCCTGACCTTCGACCCCTTCAGTATCAAGTCCTCCCAGCACTGGAAATACGTGATGGACGACTTCAAGATTGAAGTTCTGGCAAGTAGCGCACCCACTGATTCCATCTTGGAAGCGGACACGAAGCTTTTCCTCTGTGTTAAATTTGTTGGCTTATTTGGTTATGCTTAACCAAAACCAAACCCACTGCTGTCAAGTCAATTCATAGCGACCCTATAAGACAGAGCAGAACTGCCCCATAGCGTTTCCAAGGCTGTAATCTTTACGGAAGCAGACTGCCACGTTTCTCCTGCGGAGTGGCTGGTGGGTTTGAACCGCTGACCGTTCATTGAGCAGCCAGATGCTTTAACCACTCTGTGACCAAGGCTCCTTAGTTACGCTTAGGTTTTTAAAAAATCACAGAAGTAATACCTGCTTATTTGTAAGGAAAAAAAACTAAAACAGTTCCCCAGGTGGAATAAGTCTAAATTGAGCTAGACACAGTGGCATTTGTAAACCATTTGTTTCATACAATACGGGTTCACCTATCTGTGAGTCAAGGTAAAATAAACTAAATACGGCAAGAGAATCGCAAAATACCATGTAGGGTGTAGAGGAGAAGGGTATTGTGTTTGATCAGGAGTTGGGGGTATGGAAAGCAACAAGTTGGAAGCAACCTTTGGGATTGGGAAGTCTTTGGACAGCTGGAGAGGGGAGCAAGGGTGGAGGGTGAAAAAATGAAGGGGCGCTCAGGTAGTAGGAACAGCATGGATAGAGGGAACAGAAGCAGAAGGAACAGAATGTGTTTTAAGGAAGGGCAAGAAAGATGGTGTGGTGTAAGACTTGAGTAGGTATTTGTTACCGTTTGGTGCCATCAGGTTGATTCCGACTGATAGCGACCCATGTGAGAGAGTAGAACTGCCCCATAGGGTTTTCTTGGCTGTGGTCTTTGCAGGAACAGATAGCCAGGCCTTTCTCCCACTGAGCCTCTGGGTGAGTTCAAACTGCCAACCTTTCAGTCAGTAACTGAGTGCTTAACCATTGTGCCACTAAGGCTTGTTGAGTAGGTAGTAGGGGGAAATAAAGCTAGCAAAGTGGGTTGAGTGTATATTGCAGAGGACCTAGAGGGCCAGGGTATGGAATGGGACTTTATTTAGTATGTAGTAGGGACCATTTGGAGCCCTGGTGGCACAGTGGTCAAGAGCTCAGCTGCTGACCGAAAGGTCAGCAGTTCGAATCCACCAGCTGCTCCTTGGAAACCCTACAGGGCAATTCTACTCTGTCCTATAGGGTTGCTATGAGTTGGAATCGACCTGATGGCAATGGGTTAGGTTTTTTAATCTTTTTTTTAGGGGCCCATTGCAGGTTGTTGACCAAGGGGATGATATAATCAGAACTGTATTTTAGGAAGATTTTTCTCAGAGACTGTCAAAAAGTGACCGTAGCTAAGAATCAAATTTCACTCTACAAAGTGTGAATAGGGTGGCCCATCACGCTCATGGGAGACCCCATCAGTAGCAGCCCTATTATGTGTCTTCAATAACTGTTTTTATAACCCCAAGCACCTCTTCCTATGGACAACCGTTGAACGTTCTACTTGGTTACAGTCTTAGTTGTTTAGTGCTGCTGTAACGGAAATACCACAAGTGGGTAGCTTTAACAGACACATTTATTTTCTCACGGTTAGGAGGCTAGAAGTCTGAGTTTAGGGCACCAGCTCTCGGAGAAGGCTCTCTCTCTGTCAGCTCTGGGGGAAAAGCCTTGTCTCAGGGTCTCTAGCTGGCCATCCTTTAAGTTCCTGGGCTTGCAGACAGGTCGGCCTCAGTCTTCAGATAGTGTCTGTCTTCCCCCTGTGTCTTTTTAAAAAAATGTTTTACTGTGTTTTAGGTGAACGTTTGCACAGCAGATTAGTTTCCCGCTCAACAGATTGTCCGTGAAGCGTCCCGGACCTTGGCTCCGGTCCCCACGCCGCGTCAGCACTCTCCCCATTTCTGCCCTGGCCTGACCGTTCCCTTCCATCTGGCTTTCCTGCCCCTTCCTGCCCTCTCATCCCCTCATCCCCACTCCTGGGCAAAAGTTGCCCTTTTGGGCTCATCTAATTGTTTGTTCTGTGGAGCATGTTCTTTTAGGGTCTTATTGTTTATTTTATAGGCCTGTCTGTTGCTTGGCTGGAAGGTGATTTCCAGGAATGGCTGCAGTTCCAAGTCAGAGGGGTGTCTTAGGGCCATAGTCTCGGGGCTTAATCCGCTCTTTTGTATCTCAAAAGTGATTGGTTTAAGACAATAATAATATGGCTTCATTAACATAAAAAAGAAAACCCTATTCCCAAATGTGATTACATCTACAGATATAGGGGTTACAATGTACAACATATTGTTGGGGGACACAATTCAATCCGTAACAGTTATATAAGCATTATTATTATAAGTTATTCTCAGCTTCTGTTTTATTTGGTGTCATTTATTTTTAAATTTAATTTCCACCAAAGTCAGTTAGGTCATACTAAAAAAATTTACAATTAAAAAAAAAGCAGTCTCATGCTTAACCCTTTCCGTCCTCATTCTTGCAGTCATTCATCACAATTTTAGATGTTTCTTTTGTTGTTTGCTTCCGTATTTCCTAAAGGACATGCCAATGTGGTTATTTCCTGATATATTGGTTTTAGACATTTGTTAACTTCTCAGAGTAGATATAGACTGGATTGTTTCACTCCTACCCCCACTCTCTCTCTCTCTTCTAGCATAGTTTTAGCATAACTTTTGGTTAATGATCAATGTTTACTCATTTTGTCTGTGTGAATATTGTTTGCTTAAGTAGCCCATCATAACCTTTCTGTCCAACCCTTCATTTTTTCTTGGGTTAATAGTCGCCTTTATTTTTCATTTGTCTGATTATTTACATATCCATTGTTAGTTTTTCCCAGCTGCTCTAACATCTCTGCTGTACACCTATCCATAATGGATTCCATTTGCTCAAATATATCAGGGCCATTATTTTCCTGGAGTCCTTTCTCCCAGAGCTCACCAGCCCTCCTCTCTAGTCTAGGTGGTTTGTTCTTTAGGCCTGTTACATAGCAGTTGCCTGAGGACTCTCTGTCTTCTCTCATCTGTGTTAGATCTCATGTCTTCCTCTTTCCTTGTTTACTCCTTTGTTTTGTTGGAGCGCATTTCCTAGTACCTTCCTAGGAAGGGTTTCATGGCACTTAAATTTTTGAGTCCTTATATGTATGAATTCTGACCTAACACTTAGGAATAGAATTCAGGGTTGAAATTAACTCCCCTTCCCAACCCCCAGAAATTTGAAGGCATTCTTCATTGATTTCCAGATTTCACTGCTGTTAGGAGTCTGATGTCACTCTGATTTAAATTTTCTAGAACTAACCCTCCAGTCTCTTGCAGAGTGGGGTGGAGATGGGGGAACAGAGGATGCTCAGTGGCCTGCCTGTGCAGGGTGGACAAGGGGTCCTCTGTTTGTGGATTTTCAATAACCTCTTTTGCTTTTGAGCCCCTCACCTCACCCCCACCTTTGTGGTAGCTGGTGGGTCCGAATGCTGAGCTTCTCAGAGATTTCCACAGGGGAGCAAACCAGTAACAGTCTCTTCCCCCTATTGCAGGCGTTATGCTGTACCTCTCTGCCTTTTGTAAGTTTTTCAGCAGCTCTAACATCTCTGCCGTACACCTATCTATAATGGATTGCATATGCTCAGATATATCAGAGCCATTATTTTCCTGGAGGCCTTTCTCCCAGGAAATTCAATGATATTCTTTTTTTTTTTAATTGTGTTTTAAGTGAAAGTTTACAGTTCAATTTAGTTTCTCCTACAAAAATTTATACGTACAATTGTTATGTGACCCTATTTGCTCTCCCTATACTGTGATAGCACACTCCTCCTTTCCACCTCGGATTTCCCATGTCCATTCAGCCAGCTCGTGTCTGTCTCTGCCTTCTCATCTCACCTCCGGACAGGAACTGCCCATTTAGTCTCATGAATCTACTTGAGCTAAGAAGCACACTCCTCACGAGTATCATTTTGTGTCTTACAGTCCAGTCTAATCTTTGTCTGAAGAGTTGGCTTTGGGAATGGTTTTAGTTTTGGGCTAATGGATAGTCTGGGGGCCATGTCTTCCAGGGTCCCTCTAGTCTCAGTCAGACCATTAAGTCTGGTCTTTTTACTAGAATTTGAGTTATGCGCCCCACTTTTCTCCAGGAAATTCAATGGTATTCCCAAGTAAGCACACTCTCCTTCTTCCAAAAATTCCTAAACTATCTCCTGCTGTTGTCTCCTCTCCCAGTTTTATTTGCATATATTAGTTAGTTCTTTTAAGAATTCCTTTTCTGCCATTTTGGCCTGGTTGGGGAGAGAGCAGAAAACAAATGCAGACTGTCTACCATTTTGAACTGGACACCAGCTTCCATTAAAAAGCAATATAAATCCGTCGCAAGACACTGCTTTTTTGCACATTTCTTCTCCACTTTGTTTTTGCAGAATAATTGCATCAGCTTGAGCCTATTTTCTTAACTGTTTTTTTTTTTTTTTTGCGGGGGGGCAGGTAATTGAGAAAGAAGCAAAAAATTTTATTGATGAATCTTTTAAGACACTTCGATCAGCGGAAGCAGCATTTGACATGCTTTTAAAATTTAAGCATATTCGTTCACGGGAGGCTGTTAATCGACAAATGATGATGAAATTCAATGATATTCTTGCACAGTATTGCAAAGAGGTAAGAAAAATCAATAGCCACAGTAGCAATAAAAATACACTAAGCAGATTGTGAACAATCGAATCACACTATTACCCATCTTTCCATCTAAATCCAGGGAAACTCTGGAATTTTCCTAAGTAAGCATGCCACAAAATATAGCTTATCAAAGCAGAACAGGGTTTGTTTATTTAGTGGAGCAATTCACTAAGAATATGTCACCTACCCATTATATACTTCATACTGTGGTGGGCCTGTGGGCTGGTAGTAGTGCTAGTCACTGTAATAATAGCAGTAGTCACAGCTAACCATGTGCAAAGGTGATGTTGTTGATGTGTGCCATTGAGTTGATTCTGACTCATGGTGACCCCATGTGACAGAGTAGAACTGCCCCATAGGCTTTCCTAGGCTGCAGTGTTTATGGGAGCAGATCTGCAGGTCTCTTCTCCCATAGAGCAGTGGAGTAGCTGGTGGGTTCTAACCACCAACCTTTTGTTAGCAGCTGAATGCTTAATCATTGCACAACCAGGTCCCCTTATTATTCTGCCTACTATACTTAATTACCCGGAGGAGAGTACAAAAATACTTCTTTTAAAATGCAGGCGTGGCCACTGATCATGCCTAGAATGGATTTTAGTATTTCCAGCAATTCAGTCAAACAAATTTCTACACACTGTGCATGGTCTGTAATTCTAAGGTAAAGTGGAGCATTGCATGTTAAACCAAAGAAAAGATTACTAGAGAGTATAAGAAAAAGTAGCAAATATTAAGAAAGTGGTAAAAACACTATTTTATATCTTAGGGTGTTTCTTAACATTCCTATCTTCATTCCTTTAAAGATAGAGATCTCAAGTTACATCTTTCTTGGCTAACACAGTGATGTTTATCACTTACAGAATATGTTTGCTTGCTTTCCAGATGGACATAGTGAATACACTGTTTGTTCAAAACCTCGACAACCCCCCTCTATATAAGAATCATCCTCCAGTAGCAGGTGCAATATACTGGGAACGATCTCTCTTCCATCGGATTAAACACACCATCCTCAGATTTCACGAGGTCGAGGAGATACTGGACAGTGATCGAGGAAGGGAAGTATGTTACTTTCACTGAAACTGTCACGTCTTAATTCTAGATGGGTGGGCCCCCTTGGTATTGCCCAGGAGAACTGTTCATTCCAAGTGGCTGCTTAGCCTAGAGCAGGCTGCATGGAGTTGCCCGTTCGAGAAGCAGCCCAATTTCACACCCACACCTGCAGTTTAGAGGGTCTTTCCTGTGGTCCCTGATTTGGGGCTCACATGTAAAGCTACATTTTGTGTTCTTTCTTTTTAGCATCTTAATATATATGACATATTTTTAAAAAATTGTTGTTGAAAGTATACTCAGCAAAACATACCAGTTCAACAATTTATGCACGTAGAATCAGTGGCATTGGTTGCATTCTTCAAGTCGTGCAACCATTCTCACCCTCCTTTTCCGAATCGTTCCTCCTCTGTTAATATAAACTCTCTGCCCCCTAAGGTTCCTGTCTAATCTTTCGAGTTGCTGCTGTCAATTTGATCCCATAGAGGTAGATCTTAAAAAAGCACAATGTTCAAGGCAGACATCTTTACTAAATAAGTTGACCTATTGCTTGGTTTAAAGAAGACGTTGAGGGATATTTTTGGTTTCACGTTTAAAGATTATTTCAGGGCAACAGTTTCAGAGGTTCATCCAGCCTCAATGGCTCCATATATACAACCTCTTAATACATCATGTTAGTGCGTATTACATACACAATATATATGACATCTTAATACACACAGCATCTCAATACAGATGACAGGGAGCATGGACATCTCCCTGTACTCCACGGAGGATGAGTGGCATCTTCTTGTAATACCTCCTCCTTTCCCAGCCTGTGGGTTTCGTATGCTCTTTAGCAGGGCTTGATGGACCTCTTCTGTAAAGGGGCAGATGGTAAATAATACAGGCTTTGCAGTTCATACCATTGAGGACTCTCTGAAGCTTTTTTTTTTTTTTGTGAGTTTTTGTAACTTGATATTTACCATCTTAGAAACTAAAACTGAGAAGTGTTTAAAATATGTTATTTATTAATTCCTTTACAAACTCTGTTGTTTAGCAAGAAAGCAGCCATAGGTACTATGTAAATGAATGGGTGCAACCATGTTCCAATAAAACTTTATTTATGGATGCTGAAATTTGAATTTCACAGAATTTTTCACATATCATAAATCATTAGTGTTCTTTTGATTTTTTTCTTATAATTTAAAAATGTAAAAACCTTTCTCAGTGCATGGACCGTACCAAATCCAGCCCGCGGGCTATCGTTTGCTGATCCCTGGCCAATAGCCCAGATTTTAAGTTATCCCGTCTCAAACACATCCTCCAGTACTTGTGAAGAACTATCTACTGCCTTTTCTAAAATGTGTTGACAGATTATTTTTTTTTTAAATAGAGATGAAGGGTTATTTCCAAGGACAAAATGACCATTGCTTGAATTCTTTGACAGGTAAAAGAAATGTATCTGGAGGTGGGTAGGAGAATGAAGCAGTATGAAGACAGAAAGTATGATCAGTGGAGAGAGCTGACGGAGCAGATCCTCCCAACTCTTATGAAGAAGAGTCTGCTTACCAAGGTACGTATTTCTGTACCCTTTGTTGTTAGCAGCCATGGAGTCAGCCCCCGACTCCCAGTGACTTTCTGTACAGTGGAATGAAACACTGGCCTGTCCTGCACCATCCCCATGGCTGGTTTTGGATCAAACCATTGTGGTCCATCGGGTTTTCATTGGCTAGTTTTTCAGAAATAGGTCACCAGGCCTTTCTTCCTAGTCTATCTTAGCCTGGAAGCTCCACTAACCCCTGTTCAGCATCATAGCAACCCGCAAGCCTCGACTGACGGATGAGTGGTGGCTGCACATGAGGTGCACTGGCCAGGAATGGAACCTGGGTCTCCCTCATGGAAGGCGAGAATTCTACCACGAAACCACTACTGCCCCCAGTCCCAGATTGTGGTGCCCGTGGAAGATGACGGCATCTGTCATGTTCTTGAGGTTTGTTTTTGTTGGCCCTCATTCATGAGGTTGATGGGTATTTCCAAAATCAAAGACAAGAAACGGCGTGGCTGGCTGGGGGAAGAACAGAGGCAGAAAGGAAAGAGAGTAGAGACAGCGTAACGTCATGATTAGGAACGCAGGCTGGAACTGGGGAGACCTGAGACCTCTTGCCCCTTGGCGAGTGGCTCAACTCTGAGCCTCAGTTTACCCATTTATAAACACGAGTGGGATCAGATGATATGAATATGTAAAGTGTTAGTTGAACCCTATGAAATAGTTGACAAGTGACCATTTTTGACCTACAGAAAAATGTCATTTCACATGATTCATCCTTATACTTAGCACTAGGCCTGGCACATAGTAAGCACTCAAGAAATATATATTAGTTAAGTGGCATCTGGGGTCTTAAAAGTGAGCAAGTGGCCATCTAAGATGCATCAGTTGGTCCCAACCCACCTGGAATAAAGGAGAATGAAGAACACCAAAGACACAAGGAAAGTATTAGCCCAAGAGACAGAAACACCACATAAACTAGACTGAAATATATATTAGTTAAGTGGCATCTGGGGTCTTAAAAGTGAGCAAGTGGCCATCTAAGATGCATCAGTTGGTCCCAACCCACCTGGAATGAAGGAGAATGAAGAACACCAAAGACACAAGGAAAGTATTAGCCCAAGAGACAGAAACACCACATAAACTAGAGACTTCATCAGCCTGAGACCAGAAGAAATGGATGGTGCCCAGCTACCACCAGTGACCGTCCTGACAGGGAACACAACAGAGTCCCTGATGGAATGGGGGAATGGTGGGTTACAGAACTCCAATTCTAGTAAAAAGACCAGACTTAATGGTCTGACTGAGACTGGAGGAACGCCAGTAAGCATGGCCCCCGGACTCTCTGTCAACACAGAACTAAAACCATTCCTGAGGCCAACTCTTCAGACTAAGATTTGACTGGACTATGGGACATAAAATGGTACTCGTGAAGAGTGTGCTTCTTAGCTCAAATAGATACATGAGATTAAATGAGCAGCTCTCGTCCGGAGGCGAGATGAGAAGGCAGAGAGGGTTAGGAGCTGGTTGAATGGACACGGGAAATCCAGGGTGGAAAGGAAGAATGTGCTGTCACAGTATAGGGAGAGCAAGTAGGGTCACAAAACAATGTATAAATTTTTGTATGAGAGACTAACTTGAACTGTAAAATTTCACTTAAAGCACAACAATTAAAAAAAAAAAAACCTTTGGGGGAGAAAAGAAATATATATTAGTTATAAATACTGTTAAAATGTATACTGTAAATATTAAAATAAGGAGGGAAGACCTAGGCCTGGCAGTTTTGGGTCTCTGAAATTCTGAAGTTGGTTCAAAAATGAGTGAAGAGGGCCGGGGGGACCTATGGGGAATTGCATTGCTTGAGTCCCATCAGAAGGGACAGTGGCTGTTGCCACCACCACCTGTACTGCCACCATCACCTCTGCTATCAACATCACTTAAGCCCGTCCTTGCTGCATTTTATCACATTTCCCAACTTGTTGAATTCTGGGTTTTTATGTGAAACTGCCAACTTTTCAAATGTTGATGACTAAATCAGATTCTTTAAAAAGTCAGCTCACCCAACAGAACGTGTATTCTGGCTGGTTCCAGCCTGTGGGTTGCCAGCTCCCTGGTCTGTTAGGGCAGCCAGGCCCTCTGTATCCTCTTCACATCCACTTTTAACTGGGTTCCTAAGAAAGGCCTGGTGATCTACTTCCAGACAATCAGCCGCTGAAAACCCTGTGGAGTGCAGTTCTGCTCTGACACCCGTGGGGGTGCCATGAGTGGGAGCTGACTTGACGGCAGGTGGTTGGGTTTTTTGGTTTTGGTTTATTGATCTGACTGCTCCTTGGACTGCCTTGCTCCCTTATGAAATGTCTCTTCCACAGTCTTCCTCCATTACTGACGAGGCAGCCGCCTCTGAACGGGGGGCCGTGTTTGTCATAAATTTTTCACCTGCTCTCAGAGAGATTATTAACGAAACAAAGTACTTGGAACAGCTGGGATTCACAGTCCCTGAATTAGCGAGAAATGTTGCGCTCCAGGAGGACAAATTCCTCAGGTAAAAACATTCTCCTCGTAAGCCAGCAGTCACCTTCTTAGTCCTGGGGTCCCTTTCACTCTTAAAAATTGCTGAGGACTCCGCCAAAAGCTTTTGATTATAATAATCGTATTTACCACAGTAGAAATCAAAGCTGAGAAATGTTTAAAACAAATTTTTATTAATTTAAAAATATGCTTTATGACAAAATACAATCCATTTAAAAATGTTTTATGTAATCAATTTAAAAATAACAGCTGTAAACCTAGAAAGAAATAACATTATTTTTCATGAAAATAAGTATATTTTCCAAAAAAAAAGTCTGTGAGAAGAGTGGCATTGTTTTAAATTTCTGCCAAAACCTCACATTTTTAACCAGTTAGTGGTCTTTTGTAACATTTCTGTAAGATGTTGAGCTCTGTACGAGCTTGCTTGCCCTCTCATGTGACGGCTCTCGTGTGATGCACAGGTACACAGATGGAATACAGCGGATGTTGGATCATTATCACATGCTCTTAGGAACCTTAAACGAGGCGGAGGCCCTCCTTCTCGATGATCATTCCCAGGAATTGGTCAAAGTGTTTAGATCTGGATATAAGCGGTTAAACTGGAACTCACTAGGTAACATGATTCCTCTATTGCCCTTTCAGACTTTGTGATGCAAAAATAATTCTTTTAGGTTGTTTTAGTTGAATTATAATTTGTGTGTGTGTGTGTATAGATCCAGTTCACAAATAACTTTTGAGGGTCAGTGAAGTATACTTTGTGGAGCTTAGAAGTAAACTCAGTACTTTGATTGGAGGCTGTCTTAATTTCCTCATGCTGCTGTAACAGAAATACCACAAGTGGGTGGCTTTAACAAACAGAAATCAACTTTCTCATTTAGGAGGCTAGAACTCCAAATTCAGGGCACCAGCTCTGGGTGAAGATTTTTTCTCTCTGTTGGCTCTGAGGGAAAGTTTTCGTTTCTTTTTGGCTTCTGTTCCTTGGTTCCTTGGAGATCTTCATGTGGCATCTATCTTCCCCCATCTGTGCTTGCTTGCATCTGTGCCTAATCTACTCTTTTATGTCTCAGAAATGATTAGTGAAAGCCACGCTGAATACTCATATAGCCTCATTAACATAACAAAGAAAACCCTGTTCCCAGATGGGATCACAGCCATGGTTATACCAGAAAAACAAAACAGAACAAAAAAACCCAAACCCATTGCCATCGAGTCGATTTTTGGGGATACAATTCAGTCCATAACAGGGTGAAGATAAAATGTGATTCCAATTTGACACTTGGCTGGCCCAAATCTTTCTCCTCTAAAGAAATCAAAAGAACAATTTACTTTTTTAAATTAACATCTTAGTTTTGTGATAATTGTAGACTCACATGTAGTAGTAAGAATTAATCCAGAGAGATCCTGTTTACCCTTACCCAGTCTCCCCCAACCATGACTTTTTGCAAACGTATAGTAAATATCACAGCCAGGATACAGTCAAGATACAGAACAGTTCCATCACCACCAGGATTTCCCATAGTGCCCTTTTATATCCATCCCCATCCTTACCCCCTTAACCTGACCAAAACTAAACCCATTGCAATCGAGTCAATTCTGACTCATAGTGACCCTATAGGACAGAGTAGAACTGCCCCGTAGGGTTTCCAAGGCTGTAATCTGTACAGAAGGAGACTACTGCATCTTTCTCCTGTGGAGCGGGTGGTGGATTCAAACCATCAACCTTTTAGTTAGCAGACAAATGAGTAATCACTGTGCTATTGGGGCTCCTCTCTTACCCTCTTAGCCCCTGGCAATGACTAATCTCTTCCCCGTTTCTGTAATTATGTCGTTTTGAGAGTGTTGTGTAAATAGAATCATAGAGTTCGTAACCTTTTTTGGGTTGGCTTTTTTCATGCAATATAGTTCTCTGGAGCGTTATTTAGGCTGTTGGTTTATCAATAGTTCATTTTTTATGACCGAGTAGTATTCCATGGAATGGGTGTACCATAGTTTATTTAGCCATTCATCTGTTCAAGGATATCTGGGTTGTTTCCAGTTTTGATTATCACAAATAAAACTGCTATAAACATTCATGTACACATTTTTGTGTGAACACAAGTCTTCATTTCTTTAGGATAAACACCTAGGAGTGCAATTGCTGGGTTCTATGGTAGTTGCACGTTTAGGTTTTCTTCTTTTTTTTTTTAAGAAACTGACAGTGTTTTCCAGAGTGATTGAACCATTTTACATACCCCGGAGCAATGGATGAATGGTCCACTGTCTCCACAACCTTGCCAGCATTTGCTATGTAGTAGTAGTATCTCATTGAAAGGAGCCCTGGTGGCGCAATGGTTAAGTACTTGGCTGATAACCAAAAGGTTGGTGATTCAGACCCATGCAGCAGCTCCACCCGAGAAAAGACGTAGTGATCTTCTCCCATAAAGATTAAACCAAAAAAACCTGCTGCCATCAAGTCAGTTCTGACTCATAGTGACACTATAGTACAGAGTAGAACTGCCCCATAGGGTTTCCAAAGCTATAATCTTTATGGAAGCCAACTGCCACATTTTTGTCCCGTGGAGCGGCTAGTGGGTTCAAACCTCTGATCTTTTGGTTAGCAGCCAGGCGCTTAACTACTATACCACCGGGGCTCCTTCATAAAGATTACAGTCTAGAAAACCCTATGGGGCAGTTCTATTCTGTCCTGTAGGCTTGCTGAATTGAAATTGACTCGACAGCAGACAGCAACAGTACCTTATCGTGGTTTTAATTTGCCTTTCTCTAATGGCTAATGATGCTGAGCATCTTTTCATGTGCTTATTTGCTGTCTCTATATCCTCTTTGGTGAAATGTCTTTTCCTACTTTCTAATTGGATCCTTTGATTTTTTTATTGTTGAGTTTTGAATGCTCTTTATATATTGTAGCTACCTGTCCTTTTTTGGATATATGGTTTGCACATTTCTTTCTCCCACTCTGGAACTTCTTTTTTTAGACAAGTAGAGGGTTCAGGGAGCCACGGTAGTGAGAGGACAGTAGGTCTTGACCTCTTCTTCCTCCCCATGGTGCTTCAGATATGTCTATTCTGAAATTTGAGCAGTCAAAACGAATCGTATGGGCAATTCTGGGCATAGGTCTCCTTGTCCCATTCCCCAAGGGTGCTAAGTGGATCTTTGCCACCTTAAAGGCCTAAGGAGTTGGAATGAGTATTAACGTTACAGATGTTGGTGGGAGGGTGTCTTAGTTTCTTAGTGCTGCTATTACAGACGTACCACAAGTTGGTGGCTTTGAATAACAGAAATTTAGTTTCTCACTGTTAGGAGGCTGGAAGTTTGAATTCAGGACACCACCTCTAATGGAAAGCTTTCTTTCTCTGTAGGCTCTGGGGGAAGGTCCTTGTCTCTTTTCTGCCTCTGTTCCTAGTTTCCTTGGCAATCTTCATGTGGTGTATATCTTCCCCTCTGTTTGTGTCTGCTTGCTTCCTTAATCTGCTTTTTTATATCTCAAAAGAGATTGATTTAAGACGTACTCTAGACTAATACTGCCTCATTAACATAACAAAGAAAGCCCGTTCCGAAATGTGATTATAACCACAGGTTTAGGGGTTACGATTTACAACACATATTTTTGGAGACACAATTCAATCTATAACAGAGGGATAGGAACACAGTTGAAAACTACGTATCTTTCTTTTTTCTTTTTCTCCAAAGGTATCGCTGACTACATAACTCGATGCAAACAGGCCATTGGGAAATTTGAGTCCCTTGTGCATCAGATCCATAAGAATGCAAATGACATTTCCTCCAGGCTTACATTAATAGAGGCCATAAATCTCTTTAAATATCCAGCAGCTAAAAACGAGGAAGAACTCCCAGGTAGGTCTGAGTTCTTGTTCCTCTGATTATGGTATGAACAAAAGGCTGTCTTGGCCTTGACTCTTGTTATTCGACCAGTAAAACCATTCCTAACCACTTCAGTCATTTACTTGAAAAGACCTTGGGTCATTCTTACTCTTGGTCTTGTTTTATGTATTGCTTTTTATGTATTAGTTGTGCTAATTCTAGAGTCTATGAAAATCAGTGGTACTTTTGTCCCTGATTTTGTAACATTAATGTGAATTGTGTTTTTATGGGCTCGCATTTACCCATTCAAAGACTATATTTTAAGCAGTCTTAGACTAGCCCACAAGGAATTCAGGGCTATGAGAAGAAAAGCCAGATTGCCCAAAGATTCAAAAGCCACCGTCTACGTGCATAATTTTAGCACATACAATGAATGAGACTTCCTGTGTCGCCATTTGTTTTTTGCTTAGGGTATGTCTTGACTTGGGAATCCATGGCTGGTACAAACGGTTAATGCACTCAGCTGCTAACCAAAAGGTTGGAGGTTCGAGTCAGCTAGAAGTGCCTTGGAAGAAAAGCCTGGCAGTCAACTTCCAAAAAATCAGCCATTGAAAACGCTGTGGAACACAGTTCTTTATTATTATTTAACAATATTTTACCTGTTTAAGGTGAAAGTTTACATAGCAAATTAGGTTCCCATTTAACAATTTCTATGCAAATTATTCAGTGATATTGATTACCTTTTTCACAGTGGCAGTTTTTTTCCTTCAAGTCTTTATATATGTCATCTCATTGTCTGCTTGCCTGCATGGTTTCTGCTGAGTAGTCTGAGCTTATTCTTACTGACTCTCCTTTGTAGATGACTTTTCGTTTATCCCTAGCCGCTCTTAAAATTTTCTCTTTATCTTTGGTTTTGGCATATTTGATTATAATATCTCTTGGTAACTTTCTTTTGAGATCTACCTTATGTGGGGTTCGATGAGCATCTTGGATAGATATCTTGTCATCTTTCACGATATCAGGGAAGTTTTCTGCCAACAAATCTTCAGCAATTCTCTCTGTGTTTTCTGTTATCCCCCACTGTTTTGATCACTCGTAGATTATTCCTCTTGATAGAGCCCTACATAATTCTTAGGGTTTCTTCATTTTTTTAAATCCTTTTATCTGAGTTTTCCTCAAATAAGTTGGTGTCAAGTGCTTTATCTTCAATCTGACAATTCTGACTTCCATTGCCTCAGTTCTGCTCCTATGACTTTCTATTGCGTTGTCTAATTCTGACATTTTATTGTTAATCTTCTGCATTTCTGATTGCTATCTCTCTAGGGATTCTTGCAGCCTGTTAAATTTGTCATTATGCTCTTCTCTAATCTTTTTAATTTCTTCTATTGCATGTTCTGCGTTTTGCTTAATTTCCTTCCTAATTTCTTGAAGAGTTCTGTATATTAATCTTTTGTATTCTGCCTCTGGTAATTCCAAGAAATTTTCCTCCTCTGGAAAATTTCTAGATTCTTTGTTTTGGGAGCTTGCCGATCCATCTTGGGTTGCCTCTTTATGTGAGATGATATTGACTGATGTCTCCGAGCCATCAGTAAGTTATTATATTTATTTATTTTATGTTTGCTTAGCGTGTCCTAGCTTCTTGTTTTGTTTTGATATGCCCAAATAGGCTGCTCATATGAGCTACTTTGGTTATTGGCACCTTTGAAGCTCTAATATCCTGTCACCAGGTGGTTAGATCTGTTACTAGGTATGTGAGCTCAGGAGTCCACCCACTCCTCCTGTATGGATTCAGCTCAGGTGCCCAGGTAGATAGCCACCAAGTGTGTGGTGTAGGATCTCACCTACAGTCCTAGGCAGGCATGAGTGATCGGTGTAGGCACAGGCATCTGGCTGCAGCAGGGAGACATACTTTGAGCAAGGCAGGGAGCTGACAGCTGCCCCTTAGTGTCCAGGAGGAAGGCATGTCCCTGTTCCCTAGAGCACGTAGGTGGATGGGTTTTACAGCTGGACTATGAGCACCCAGTGCTGTTGGCTGTAAGGAATGGGGACACTTCTTTTTCTTGGGCCCCTATCGCAGGTGGCTCGGTGGCATGGGTGGAGCGCCCAGTCCTCAGGCCCCTGATGTGGGTAGGTGAAGACCCTTCTTAATGGGCAGAGCAGTGTCAAATGTCACAAACCTGCCACTTCTCAGCTGAAACAGTTGAAGTCAGACTTCAGTTATATACCCTGTTGTACTGCGGTAATGAGGGGCTACGCTGTTGAAATGGGCCCACACAAGTCTCTGCAGGGGGAAAGGTACTCAAAGTCTGTGGATCCCTTACGCCTGTACCTAGGCAAAGGAGCTGTGCCTACCCTGGGTTCCTGGCTTAGAGGAGCCAGCAGTTTATTTTTTCCCATTTGTTAATTTGTTCACTCTCCAAGGCAGGGAGAATGGCTTGGGGCATGTGACGGATCCTACTTCCAGCCCAGGGGACTTGGCAATTGCTGAAGCCGGTCCAGGACTCAGTGCAGAGCAGGGAGCGGGGACATAAATGGGAGAGAGGTTTTTCCTTAAGGGGGGTGTTTTTGATCCGCATGGTATGCCATATGCAAGTACTTACCTTTTGCCGATCCAGGGCAGCTTCTCACTAGTTCTGGGTGGCTGCGTAGACTCTCTGGCACTGGGTCTCTCCTGGTGTAGAAAATGTGCCTCCCAAGCACCACTGCTTGCCTGCCTCACTGCTCACTCATGAGCTGCTCAGGCCTGAAGGTCAGGTCTGGCAACTCCTTGCTGCTTGTGAACCATCTCTCCCTCCCCCTGCCACTCAGTCTGGTTCCTCAACTTTGCCTTAGATGTTCAGGGCTCCTAGATTGTCATATATAATTGATTAACTTGTTTTTTCGGATCTTCGTTGTAAGAGTGTCCACCGGAAGCATCTGACTACTCCCCCATTTTGGCCCTGCCTCCTCAATTCCTAGCTATTTGAGGAAGCACCATACCGTTTTCCATAGTGGTTGTACCATTTTACAATCCCATCAACAGTGGATAAGGATTCTAATCTCCCTACATCCTCGCCGGAATTTTTTTTTTTTAATCAGTGTCATTTTTGCAGGGGTGAGATGATACGGAGCACAGTTCTATTCTGACACACACAGGGTCTCCATTATTTGGTGTCAAGTGTGACAGCCGTTGTTTTTTTTTTTGATGTCTTGACTTACGGTGTTGACTTATTTTCTGCTTGGGTCAGGTTTAGAGGCTGTTTTTGTATTTCAAAGTATATAGCTCATTTTTGGATTTTTAAAAAATAGACTTTATATTTTAGAGCAGTTTTAGGTTTACAGAAATTTGTACAGGAAATACAGAGAGCCGTTGTTTACCCTGTCCGCCATATACCTGTCCGCCGTTGTTTCTCCTGTTAAGATCTTTCATTAGTCTACATTGATTAGATACGTGAATGAGCCTGTATTGACAGATTATTATTAAAGTCCACAGTTTACCTCAGGGTTCACTTTTGTGATACTCAGGCCTATGGGTTTTGACAAATGCTTAATGTCATGTGTCCACCATTATAGTATCATTCAAAATAGTTCTATTGCCCTAAAAACGCTCTTTTTTTTGAGTAGTTGTCATTTCCTGTGTTTGTAAACTTTCTAACAGGTGTCTTCCTCCACAGGTGTGAAGGAATTCTTTGAGCACATTGAGCGAGAAAGGGCCAAAGATCTGGACCACATGGTCAGGTGGTATCTTGCCATTGGCCCTCTGCTGACCAAAGCCGAGGGTCTGGTCATACACACCAACACTGGCAAGGCTCCCAGGCTGGCCTCCTACTACGAATATTGGGAAAATAGAATTTATGAAGTACTGACGAAGCTCATCCTAAAGTAAGTCCATCTTCTTGTTGCATGTTTTAGGAACAGTGTACATGGATTGAGATATTTTACATGTATGAATCGTGAAGAGGGGACAAGGCACAGAATAAAAATCAGGTGGACAGAAAGCCTGCTTTCTGACTGAAGGGCACTTGTGGAAGGATGGTCTCCCACTCAGGCCCATGTTCTTGTTAGACCCCTTGGTGTTCAGAACAGGAAGTGGTACTCTCCTCACTTCAGCTGTTGAAAAAACGTACATGTGTCTGTGTTCTGGCAACAGAGAATTACTGTCACTCATTACTTATAAAAATCCTTACAACTGGACCAATAAGCAGCGCTATGATAAATGGAGAAAATATGGAAGTTGTCAAGGATTTCATTTTACTTGGATCCACAATCAAGGCCCATGGAAGCAGCAGTCAAGAAATCAAACAGTGTATTTCATATTGCATTGAGTACATATGCTGCAAAAGACCTCTTTAAAGTGTTAAAAAGTGAAGATGTCACTTTAAGGACAAAGGTGCACCTGATCCAAACCATAGTATTTTCAGTCATCTCATATGCATGTGAAAGCTGGACAAAGAATAAGGAAGACTGAAGAAGAATTGATGCATTTGAATGATGGTGTTGGTGAAGAATATTGAATATACCATGGACTGCCAGAAGAGCGAACAAATCTGTCTTGGAAGAAGTACAGCCGAAATGCTCCTTAGAAGTAACAATGGCAAGACTTTGTCTCACTTACTTTGGACATGTTACCGTGGAGAAGGACATCATGCTTGGTAAAGTAGAGGGTCAGTGGAAAAGAAGAAGACCCTCAGTGAGATGGATTGACACAGTGGCTGCAACAATGGACTCAAACATAGCAATAATTGTGAAGATGGTACAGGACCCGGCAGTGTTTTGTTCTGTTGTACCTAGGGTTGCTATGAGTTGGAACTGACCAGATTGCATGTAACATCAACAGGAACGTTACTTACTCCAACCCCAGAGGACACCTGTACTCGTATTCAAAGAGGAGGATTTGAAGGACTCATGACCACCCACCCTTCTTGATGTCTAAAGCAAATCCCCAGCTGGATTGGCTGTCACATCTCTGCCAGAGGCCTGTTGTTATGCCAAGTACTGTGCTGAGCTCCAGCCTGAGACCCAGCCGACTCTGCTGTTCCCTCCTGGAGCTCACAGGCCAGCAGCTCAGCTTCACCAGTTGGGAGCTGAGAGCCTGGCCTTCGCCATGTTGGTGGCCCCAAATGGCTCTGGAATGTGAAGCTGACAGCCTGTATTTAGGATCTTTCTAGAAAGCAGCCTGTGAAATTCATTGCTGTTATTATTCATCTATATCATCAAGGTGACATGCATATATATATATAAGCTAATATGTAAGAAAGCTTACTCCACACCAGGCTTTGTGTTATACTCTTTATAGTTATTATCCTCATGTTACAGATGAAGACACTGGAGACTATTGAGAGGCTGAGTCACTTGCCTGAGGCCACATGGCTAGTAAGGAGTAGAGCTGGGGCTTGAACCTGGGCAGTCTGAGTTCAGTAGCACTTTCCTAAACTGCTTCTGATTACTGCCTCTTTCCTTTCTTATTTGACCCCACGTTGATTTTAGTGTCTCTTACTACTGGTGAGGCGTCCTTGTGAGCTGCTAAAGTCCACTATGGGACAATACATTAATAAATAAAATAAAGACCTTTGGGTCTTCTTGTTTTTTGGACTCGGTTTCACAGACTTGACTAAGTTAATCCTTAAAAAAATTGTTTTCTATATATTTCATTTAGTTTTCATTGTTGCTTCTAACTCGACTCCAAAAGGAGCCCTTGACTCTGGGGACCATGGTCTCGGGGAACATCTAGCTCAATTGGCATGACACTACTTATAAAGATAATGCTCTACATTCTACCTTG